AAGGCCTCCTTGAGTTAGAAGGGAACCCCCCAAAGGTCATTTAGTCTGGCCTCAAGTATCAAAAGGTCTGCTTGAATTAAAAGGTACCCTCTAAAGGTAATCTAGTCTGACCCTCACCATCGAAAAGGCTCCTTGAGTTGGAAGGCACACCCCAAAGGTCATCTAGTCTGACCTCAAGCATCGAAAGGCCTCCTGAGTTGGAAGGGTTCCCCCTAAGATCATCTAGTCTGCACCCATTTTACCTTGCAGGGATCCTCAACTAAAGACATCTATCTAACGTCTGGACAGTTGTATTTGCAAGGTCTAGGTTCTAATCATTTTTAAAATGAGCTGGTTGGTTTGTTGTTGTTGTTTTGTGTGTGTGTGTTTTGCTAAAAAGAAATGCCTTTGAGGGCTGTTTTCTCTGCTTTCGAACAAGTGTGGACAGGTTAATCTTGGGCTGCTGAGCGCCGCAAGAAATATCAGAGAGAAAAATGAATTTGAAGGGAACTCCTTGACTCAATCTGAAGAGACCTCAAAGGAGGTTGAGGCTGACAGAGTGTCACCCAACGCAGTTGGGCAGGGATTCAAATTGCATTTGGTGCCAGGAATCTGTGCCGGAAATGCTGTTTTCTTCCAAATGACTTTATTTGAATTTTAGGCAGAATAAACATGTTCTGCCCAAAACTTCTGCATTAAAAAAATTAGTTTCTACATACACATATTTTCTGCATATAATTATTATTAATACTATACATTATTTTCTGCATAGAAATATTATAATATTTTCCGCATACGTTATTATTCTGCATAGAATTATTATTATTATTATTTTCATCATACAATTATTTTCTGTATAAAAATATTTTTTCAGTTCCAATAATGCTGTTCCCTGTGCCAAATAACCTTGTTTGAATTTAGGGCAGAATAAACTTGTTTTGCCCAAAATGTACAGTTTTTTCCTGTCTAGAAATACAATTTTCAGTGCAGAAAAGGGTTTTCTGCACAAAAATTCAATTGTGTGCAAAACTGGTGAAACATTGATGCAGCTAAGAAATAAGTTGCCAATGTGCCAAACATTCGGTTTTTAGTCTCGGGGCTTGAAAGGGTTTTGTTGATTGAGTCGTTCCATTAATTTATTTGTGGATTAAACCTGACTGCAAGCTTTCCCTCTTGACTCAGGATCAAGAGAAATCCTCTTAAGTCAAAGCAGGGAGAACGTTGTTTATATCTGGATCCCTTCTGCAACGTTATTAGGCATTTATTTAACCCTTGTGGTTTTGCTCCGACATTAGAAATGGTGGTGTAGTAGGGGGGTTGATGTCCCAGTTTGGTTAGAAAAGGCCCATTTACTCCTCTTCTTCCCAGTTTTTTGCTTTGAAAATGTTCAATTTTCCTTCTCCTTCTCCTTCTCTTCCTTCTCCTTTGTTCACTTCAATGACTGCAAAAAATAGATTGTAGGAGATGAGGGGGGTTATTTTTATTAGGAGTTCCTCTGACTATCAAGAGGTTCTTCTGACCTTCAAGAAGTTCTTCTGACCATCAGGAGGTTTTTCAGACCATCACAAAGTTCTTCTGACCATTAGGAAGTTCTTCTGAGTATCAGGAAGTTCCTCTGACCACCAAGAGATTCCTCTGATCATCATGAGATTATTCTGATCACCAAAAAGGTCTTCTGAACACCACAAAGTTCTTCAGAACCTAATGTGCTTCTTCTGACCACCAGGAAGTTCTTCTGATCATTATGAGATTTTTCTGACCATCAGGACTTTCTTCTGACTATTAGGAAGTTCATCTTACCATCATTAGGTTCTTCCGACATCCTGAGCTTCATCTGACTATCATGAGGTTCTTCTAACTACCAGGAAGTTCTTTTTACCATCATTAGATTTTTTTGACCATCAGAAGGATCTTCTGACCATCAAGAAATTTTTCTGACCATCATGAAGTTCTTCTTAATAGTTAGGTGGAACTTCTTTTATTGCAATCTGAATCCGTTTCTGTGGAGAACCAAAAAAACAAACTTGTCCTCTCCTCAATGGGACATTCTTTCCAAGATTCAAATATAGCTCTCATGTTACCCTTCTCTACTCCAACATAAACCTTCCCAGCTCGCTAAGATGCTTCTCATAGGGATTCATAGTTTCCAGACTATTTGGTGGCCCTTCTCTGGACACTATCCAGCTTATCCATCTCTTTCTTGGATTTTGGTGCCCAGAACTAGAGAAATTTCCGGTCAGCTGTGAGGAAAACAGAATTGAGTGGGACTGTGAGTTCTATTTCTTTTCCAAGCGTTTGTGTGCCATGGGTTAAATGCCACTTTGTGCCCTCTTGTTACACAACCCGCCTGTTGAGTTATATTCAAAGCTCTGGGTAAATGTGTCAGTAGGACACAACCAATTCTTGACGGACAGGTCTGGCGGCCAACAAGTGGTGGGACTGGCTTGCCCTTAGATCTGACGTACGTCACCGGTGATGTGTCAAGCAGATGGCAGTTATATAACCCTTGGTGGTTTTTGCGTGAGCCAGCTGTGCCAAGCTACAAACAACTTGGCCGAAGGAGGGATGTTTGTGGGTGAAGTTGGGCAAGTTGTGAGCTCATCAAACAGGAGGAGACTTCCTTTCCTTGAGCAGTTTCGCCTTCTCCTCTGCTGCCATTCCGGATGCATTTGCAACAAGGGGTCCTCACACTGTTTAAGCCCAGGGCCAGTTTAGGATCCCTTGGACTTAGACTATAGTTTGATGTGCTGCCTTCAAGTCCATTCAGACAGGGCGAATCTAAGGCAATCCTCACACAGAGTTTTCTCATCAAGATTCTTTGTCTGCATCTGGCAAAGGCCTCCCTTTTCTCTCTTCCTTTCCTTTTTCCTTCCTTCCTTCCTTCCTTCCTTCCTTCCTTCCTTCCTTCCTTCCTTCCTTCTCTGTTTCTTATGTGCTGTTCTTTCTCCCTTTATTTTCTTCCTTCCCCTTGTTACCCACCTACCTTCCTTTTCCTTCCCTGTTTCCTTCCTTCTCTTTCCTGTCTTTCTTTCTTTTTTTCTCTCCTTTCCCTCTGTTTCCTTTCCTTTTTCTCTTCCTTCTCTGCATTTCCTTTCTTTCTTTCTCCCTTCCTGTCTTTCTTCTCTTCCTTCCTTCTATTTCTTTTATTTCTTTCTCCTTTCTTTCTTTCTTTCTTTCTTTCTTCCTTTCTTTCTTTCTTCACTTCCTTCCCTCTCTGGTTACTGCCTTCTTTCTTTCTTTTCCTCCCATCTCTGTTTTCTGTCTATCTTTCTTTCTCCCTTCCTTCTCTTTTCTTTCCTTTCTTTCTTCCTTTCATCTTCTCCTTCCTCCTGTTTCCTACCTACCTTTCTTCCTTTCTTCTTCTATTTTCTTTCTTCTTTTCCTTTTGTTTCCTACCTTCCTTCCTTCCTTCCTTTCCTTCTCTGTTTCCTTCCTGCCTTTCTTTCTCCCTTTCTTCTCTTCCTTCTCTACTACCTTCCTTCCTTCCTTTCTTTACTTCCTTCCCTCTGTTTCCTTCCTTCCTTTTTTCCTTGTTCCCTCCCTTCTTTTCTTTCTCCCTTTCTTCTCTTCCTTTTTCTCTCCCTCCATTTTGGGGGAGAAATAGAAAGAGGAGATGAATGGAAATGAGTGTAAAGGCGCAAGAAGAAGGTGGTGACAGTCTAAAGTTTAGAACAAAGACCAGGTAAAAAACCTTAAGGGTCTGGATACGGCCTGCAGACCTTGCGGTGGGAACTCTCAAACTACAGTGTACAATTCAAGCAGCTTTTGCACCACTTTGGCTGCCAGGGCTCAATGGGACTCTGGGAGCTGCCTAATTAATTTTGGCCCCTATTGCCAAATTGTGCAGATCTGGTACCGATACTCGCTTTCCAATAAATGTTATGTCTATTTATGTATATACTGCCTCCAGAATGGGTTCAACGCTTACCAAACACCAATAAAGCAGCCTGGCTTTCTTTGCGGAGGCGGAAAATGGCATGGAGGGAATTTTAAATGAGAAGTAATCTCCCTGTTTCCTCCTCCGGGTGATTCAACAGCAAGACACGCCCGAGTTGAAAGTATTTCTTGCAAAGCAGAGGCTGTCATTGTTGTCCTTCTCTTAAAACAGCATCCATCCGACGTGGTATCAATTAATGTTGAATGATATATATATAGTATGATTTCCTCAGACTGCCCTCTTCTGGCATTAGATGGAACTGCAGTATTCATATTGATTTCATATATATAGTATGACTAGCTTGGGTAGCCGGCGTTGCCCGGATTATTTCAAAAAGTCATTTTTTAATTGTACAAAATGCATAAGGTTGTGGGTGAACTACAACCCCCATCATGCCAGGTTAACCCCAAAAAACTCCATCAGTATTTCATGTTTGTTATGTTGGGCAAGTTTGCTCTCCAGATGCAAACTTGGGGTTTAATGTGCTCTGTGGCTGTAGGATAAACTACAACTCCCACTATGGTGAGTCAGTCCCCTCAAACCCATCCAGTAGGTTGAGTTAGTCATGGGGGTTCTGTGTGCTAGATTGGTCCAGGTCCATCATCAGTGGAGGTCACAGTTTCTCTGATTGTGGGTGAACTACAACTCCCAGAAAGAAAGGTCTGCTTCCCTAAACCCTTCCAATAATCAAATTTCGGCATATCAGGTATTGGTCCAATTCCATCTTTGGTGAAGTTCAGAGTGCTTATTGTTTGCAGGTGAACTATACATCCCAGGACCTACAATTCCTATAAATTATGGTGATTCTCCCCAAACCTCTCTAGTATGTTCCTTTGCTGATCAATTCCTCTGTTTGCTGTGTGCTATAGAAAAGAGTAGGAAAGGGTAGAGTCATGCATATTGCTCACCAATGGAGAGAGTCATAAACACGCCCTCTTCTGGTATTAGGTGGAACTGCAATATTCATGTAGATTTCATATACATAGTATGGCATCCCAAGACTGCACTCTCCTGGCATTGCAAACCTTCTTTCTCTTTACATTTCAAAGGCAAATTGTTAACTGCCTGGTTTCTCTTCCTGCAGCACAAATCGAGGTCATTCCTTGCAAGATATGCGGGGATAAATCATCCGGGATCCATTATGGAGTGATCACCTGCGAAGGATGCAAAGTGAGTCGTATTATTATTATTATTATTATTATTATTATTATTATTAGGAGCCCACTGTGGCACTGAGCTGCTGAACTTGCTGGCCAAAAGGTCACAGATTCTAATCCAGGGAGCAAGGGGGTGTCAGAAGGGTCGCCAAAGACCATCAGAAATCACAGTATTTTCTCTCGATCATGGGGGTTCTGTGTGGGAAGTTTGGCCCAATTCTATCGTTGATGCGGTTCAGAATGCTCTTTGATTGTAGGTGAACTATAAATCCCAGTAACTACAACTCCCAAATGTCAAGGTCTATTTCCCCCAAATGCCATCTGTGTTCATATTTGGACATATGGAGTATTCTACAAAACTCAAGGTCAATGCCCACCATACTCTTCTAGTGTTTCCTGTTGGTCATGGGAGTCCTGTGTGCTAAGTTTGGTTCAATTCCATCGTTGATGGAGTTCAGAATGCTCTTTGATTGTAGGTTAACTATAAATCGCAGCAACTACAACTCCCAAATGACCAATTTTTTTTAGTGATGGTCAAAGCGGTTTTTGATTTATGATGTCACTCAAAACGAACAGAACATATATATATAGATAGATAGATAGATAGATAGATAGATAGAATAATATTTATTATTATTACTGTTCTATTACTACTATTTTATTACTATTTTTTTATTTTTGTGCTTATTACCATTTATTAATTTGGGCATCTTGAATTATTGTTATTGTTATTATTATCTTGCTCTCTGTATAACCCCTAAACAGCTAGCTTTGGGCATTCAGAATTATTGAATTATTATTATTATTATTATTATTATTATTATTATTATTATTATTATTTTGCTGACTATATAACCCCTAAAGTTAGCCAGATTGAGGCATCCTGAATAAGTATTATTATTATTATTATTATTATTATTATTATTATTATTATTATTGGTGGCAGTGGTAAAGTAGATGGTGGGTGGGAACTTGATGCTCTGAAGGCTTCTGGGAAGCGGGTGTGAATCTCCATTGGGGAGCCCTTTGTATATCCCTGTTTGCACAGTTCCTGAATTGCATCCTAGAGTCACCGCTTTTCTCTCCTCCGGTGTGCACAGGGCTTCTTCCGCAGGAGCCAGCAAAACAATGCAACGTATTCCTGCTCCCGACAGCGCAACTGCATCATCGACCGGACCAACCGCAACCGGTGCCAGCATTGCCGCCTGCAGAAATGCCTGGCGCTGGGCATGTCACGTGATGGTGAGCATTGCCGCAATTGGCCACCATTGTTTGTTCATATCAGGAGTTGCCCTAGAAAATGTCTAGGAGGATGTATTTTGTTGGATGTGTATGAATGGCCCAAGGCTGCATGAGAGGTCCTCAAATACTTTTAGAGAGGTCTTAGAAAATAATAATAATAATAATAATAATTATTATTATTATTATTATTATTATATTTCTTAGAAAATAATATATATAAATAAAAATGTAATGTTCGTTTGTGGTAGTCACAGAACTCAAAAACCACTAGGGCAATTGGCACCAAATTTGGACACAAGACACCTAACAACCCAATGTATGTTCTCCACTCAAAAAAAACAACACGAAAACAAAAAGCAGAAAGGACTTCTGAATGCATGTCCACAAAGGAGAAACTGCATGTCTACAAAGAGACCCATGGCCACGCCCCCTCCTCCTCCTCACGGGGAAACAGCCGGCCGATAAAGCATGAGGAGCCACACACACACACACACAAGCGAGAGTGGGCACCATGGGAGTGGAGGGGGAGGCTTGCCGCAAGGAGCCCTTTCTCTTTCCCTGCTATGCCAGGAGGGCGGTCTCCTCCTCCTCCACCTTTCCCTGTTGGAAGAGGCCAGCGGGTCGGGGAGGGACTTTCTGTAGACCCTTTTTTCTTTTCTGTCTGACCTGCTCGCCTGTCTCCAGCAATACGAGCACACATTTAACACACACACACACAGGAGGTAGCTGCCTCTGCCACACTCCACCCGAAAGGACTCCCTTCCCTTCTTTCCTCCCTCCCTTTCTTTCCTTTTCTTCCTTCCTTCCCCTTCCTTTCCTCCCCTCCTCCTTCCTTCCTGTCCCCCCTCCTTCCTTCTCCTTCCTTTCCTTCTTGTCCTTCCCTCCCTTCCTTTCCTCCTTCTTTCCCTTTCTTCATTTCCTTCCCCTTCATTTCCTTCCCTCCCTCCTTTCTTCTCCTTCCTTCCTTTCCTTCTTTCCTTCCTGTCCCTCCTTCTTTCCTTTCCTTCCTTCCCCTCTTTCCTTCCTTCCTTCCTTCTTCCTCTCCTTCTTTCTATGTAAGATATAAATACAATATTTTATATATTGTTACATAGATTACTATGTAATATGTTACTATTATATATGTGTGTGTGTGTGTGTGTATAAATATAATATTACTATATAATACAAATTAAATGGAAGGGACAGTCAAGAAGCAACAAGGGAAAGAGAGAAGAAATGAAGGAGGGAAAGGGGGAAGGAAGGAAGGAGACAAGGAGGGAGGGAAAGAAGAAAGGAAAGAAAGGAAGGAAGGAAGGAAGGAAGGAAGAGAAGCAAGAAAGGAGAGAAGGAAATAAAGGGGAAAAAGAGAGGGAAAGAAGGAGAAAAGGAACAAAAGACAGGGAAGGAAGGAAGGAAGGAGAGAAGGAAGGATGCAACCAAAGAGCAAAGAAGGGGGGAAAGAAACAGGTAGAGATGGAAGAAAGAAGAGAAATAGGAAGGGAAAGAAATAGAGGAAAGGAAGGAAAGAGGGAAGGAAGGAAAAAAAGAGGGAGGGAAGTTTGGCCACAGCAACGCATGGCGGGTACAGCTAGTAATAATAATATTTCTTACTTGCCTCTCCTCGTGGCTTGAGACAAGTTGCAGAATAATTAAAACAAATAAACATTGTAAAAAAAATCCACCAATGCACATATTAAAATGCATTTCTACAAAAGATTCCTATTAAAACGTATAATATATAATACATATTGAAATACACAGAGCAAAGATTAAACACAGGACAAGAGTTTTAAAATCCATGCTTAAAATTGGCTGGGTAGGCTACTGCTAGAAGAGATAGATCTTCAGATGGTTTTTAAATTTCGGCAGGAAAGGCCTAGAAGGGATGTATTTTGTCGGATGTGGATAAACGAAACCATGGTCTCATAGATACAGGGGAGGCAGATATGTATCGAGTTTAGGAGAGACGGGAGGAACAGTTCACAGCACTCACTATCCGGACAAAGGCTAAAGTGAAATGCCACCCTTCCTTGCAGCGGTCAAGTTTGGCAGGATGTCCAAGAAGCAGCGGGACAGCCTCTATGCTGAGGTCCAGAAGCACCAGAAGAACCAGGAACATGGTGGAGGGCACAGTCACGGGGAAGCTGCGGATGAGCCAGAGCCCCTCTCCCGAGGCTACTCAACCAGCGTCAGCAGCGGCCTTTCTGACCTGGATGATATCTCCATGCTCTCTGATGGGTTCCTCTTCGACTTCCCCTTAACCCCGGATAACAATGGGAATGGTGGTGGTTACTACAACCTCGACCTCCTGACCTCAGCTCAACCTTCTCCAGACCAATCCAGCCTGGACCTCAGCGAGGCCAAGCTCCTCAAACAGGAGTCGCTCTACGAGTTGATGCTGGAACCATCACTCTTCTGTGGAGGGGGCTTCGAAGGCGGGCCCTTGACCTCAGATGTCTCGGCTGCGGAGATCGGTGAGTACAGGTTTGCTGCTTCATCATAGGAGTGCTCGAATCCATTCTTTTTCCATTCTGTTTCCATTTTGAATTTTGGGTGCCCTCCATTCTGTTTTTGGGAAGATTCTGGGAGATTAAGAGAGAGGCCATTCAGATTCGTAATTCAGGATCTGGAGTTCTGTTTCCGTTTCAGGAAGAATTGTCCCAGAAACAGAACGGAATTCTGTGCAGTTTCACCCATCCCTATGTTTCTCTCTCCTCCTTCAACCCCTTTCAACGACTCTGTGAACTTGGAGACATGTCATGCTTAACCTTTACACAACGTGATACAATAGATGCAAACCCCGTACCTATATCCCAACACACAAGTTATTATTGGTGTTACTCCACAGACCAAATTCTCACTGTTTTGGGTTTTAGGCCTATTCCTGGGGGCACTCACTTGGAAAATGCCTATAGAGGTATGCAAATCTGTTCTGTTTATGTTCTGTTTTCCTTTCAAATTTGGGAAGATTCTGGGAGATTAGGAAGGGAGGCTGTTCAAATTCATAATTCGGCACCCAGAGTTCCGTTTCTGTTTCAGAAATAATCTTTCTGAAATCAAAACCTAGAAAACACACACCCGAAAACAGAATGAAAACAGAATGGATTTTGTTCCATTTCACACACCCCTAGGAAATGGCATTGGATAGACTGTATCTGCTCTCGTTTTCTGGATAACAGTTATCATGGTTTTTTATGCCCCCCCCCCAAATGTAATCATAACTGCTATACATTTATACAAAAGCAAAATTGATATGAATTTTGGATTCAGGTTTTGTAGCTCAAAAACTGATTGTGGGGAAACAGGTGCCGTTTCCGTAATCAACAGGTCATATATACCCTGAAACCATTATTATTATTATTATTATTATTATCAACAATAACAACAACCATAACAGCAACACACAAAGATTGATGGCTGAGAATTCATTGGGATTAATTCATGCCAAACTGGGACACTTAGAAGAGACCACGGGCATTTTCCCACTATAGAAAAGAGACTCTCGTCTGACAATTATTCCAGTGGCTCCTGCAAACTGTGCAAAATGTAATTTAGGGAACTGAAGAACCTTTCTAGCTAGGAATTCCAAAGGCTCTGCCCTCAACTACATTTCCCAGAATTCTGCAGGAGCCACTCGGATGATTGGTTATTGACAACCTCAGTTCTATAACACTAGTGGGAAATGTTGCATGACTCAGTGCTACAAGATCCTAGAGGATCCTTCTTTGGCAAAGAAGGCGAAATACCTTGTCGGACTACAACTCCCATGATACTACAGCGCAGCTTAAAGTGGTGTCACACTTTCATGGCTGTTGGAGTGCTAGACAGTGACTTCCACAGAGGAGCAGAGATTCGAACCCGGAATGCAGTGGAGTCACCTTATCTGGAGGTTTTAGAGCTGGATGACCATCTTTAGCCTTGCGGAAAAGGTCCGCAAGGCTAAAGCAAAAAACGAGCTCAGACTTGCCAGGGACATTAAAAACAATAAAAAGGGCTTCTATTCTTATGTCAGTAGAAAAAGGAAAAACAAGGAGGCGATAGGACCTCTTCGAGGAGAAGATGGGGCAATGCTGACAGGGGATAGGGAAAAGGCAGAACTACTTAATGCCTTCTTTGCCTCGGTCTTCTCACAAAAAGAGAGTCTTCAACCTCAGCAAGATGGAGTGGATGAGGGATTGGAGGACATCCAACCCCAAATTGGGAAAGAAGTCGTCCAGGAATACCTGGCCGCTCTTAATGAGTTCAAGTCCCCAGGGCCAGATCAACTACACCCCAGAGTATTGAAGGAACTAGCGGAAGTCATTTTGGAACCATTGGCAACCATCTTTGAGAGTTCTTGGAGAACGGGAGAAGTTCCAGCAGATTGGAGGAGGGCCAATGTGGTCCCAATCTTCAAGAAGGGAAAAAAGGATGACCCAAACAACTACCGTCCGGTCAGCCTCACGTCGATACCGGGCAAGATTCTGGAAAAGATTGTTAAGGAAGCGGTCTGCAAACACTTAGAAACAAATGCAGTCATCGCTAATAGTCAACATGGATTTATCAAAAACAAGTCATGCCAGACCAATCTGATCTCTTTCTTCGATAGAGCTACAAGCTGGGTAGATGCGGGGAATGCCGTGGATGTAGCGTACCTGGATTTCAGTAAGGCCTTCGACAAGGTCCCCCATGACCTTCTGGCAAGGAAACTAGTCCAATGTGGGCTAGGCAAAACTACGGTGAGGTGGATCTGTAATTGGTTAAGTGGAAGAACACAGAGAGTGCTCACTAATGCTTCCTCTTCATCTTGGAAAGAAGTGACAAGTGGAGTGCCGCAGGGTTCCGTCCTGGGCCCGGTCCTGTTCAACATCTTTATTAATGACTTAGATGAAGGGCTAGAAGGCATGATCATCAAGTTTGCAGACGACACCAAATTGGGAGGGATAGCCAATAGTCCAGAGGACAGGAGCAGAATTCAAAACGATCTTGACAGATTAGAGAGATGGGCCAAAACTAACAAAATGAAGTTCAACAGTGACAAATGCAAGATACTCCACTTTGGCAGAAAAAATGAAATGCAAAGATACAGAATGGGGGTGCCTGGCTCGAGAGCAGTACGTGTGAAAAAGATCTTGGAGTCCTCGTGGACAACAAGTTAAACATGAGCCAACAATGTGATGTGGCGGCAAAAAAAGCCAATGGGATTTTGGCCTGATTCAATAGGAGCATAGTGTCTAGATCTAGGGAAGTAATGCTACCCCTCTATTCTGTTTTGGTTAGACCACATCTGAATATTGTGTCCAATTCTGGGCACCACAATTCAAGAGAGATATTGACAAGCTGGAATGTGTCCAGAGGAGGGCGACTAAAATGATCAAGGGTCTGGAGAACAAGCCCTATGAGGAGCGGCTTGGGGAGCTGGGCATGTTTAGCCTGAAGAAGAGAAGGCTGAGAGGAGATATGATAGCCATTTATAAATATGTGAGAGGAAGCCACAGGGAGGAGGGAGCAAGCTTGTTTTCTGCTTCCTTGGAGACTAGGACGCGGAACAATGGCTTCAAACTACAAGAGAGGAGATTCCATCTGAACATGAGGAAGAACTTCCTGACTGTGAGAGCCATTCAGCAGTGGAACTCTCTGCCCCGGAGTGTGGTGGAGGCTCCTTCTTTTGAAGCTTTTAAACAGAGGCTGGATGGCCATCTGTCAGGGGTGATTTGAATGCAATATTCCTGCTTCTTGGCAGGGGGTTGGACTGGATGGCCCATGAGGTCTCTTCCAACTCTTTGATTCTATGATTCTATGATCTTGTCAGAATGATTATTATATGTATCATTCTGTCCCCACCAGAGCGCCTCACCCAAAATGTGGTCAAGTCGCATATGGAGACGTCGCTATACACCGCTGAGGAGTTGAAGCGGATGGTGTGGACAATGCACTCGCAAGACGAAATCAGAAACATGCAGAACAAGGTAGGTTTTTCCCACACTGGCCGGGAGTGTACCTACACTGTCAAATTAATTGGATTTGACCCTGCTTTAACTTCCATGGTTCAATGCAATTGAATCCTAGAAGGGTTTGTTTTTGTTTTTGTTTTTTTGCGGAGAAGGCTAAAGAGACAGTATAAAACTACCATAGTTCTGTACCATGGAGCCATAGCAGTTCAGGTTGGGTGAAGTGGCATTCATTCTACAGTGTAGACACATCCCTTGTTTTAACAAGGAAATTGGAGAAAACATATGTTTTGGGGTATTTGAAAAATATTTGACTCCTTTCCCGCTTCTCTGCAGAGCTGTGAGGCCATGTGGCAGGAATGCGCGATCCAGCTCTCCAATGCCATCCAGTACGTCGTCGAGTTTGCCAAGCGCATTGATGGCTTCATGGACCTCTGCCAGAATGACCAGATCATCCTCCTCAAAGCAGGTGAGGAGCAAGGTTGCTTTGTTGCAATGACTCTTTTTCCGATTGTGTTGATGTAGCAACCCTTTTTCCGGTTGCGTTGTTGCTATGACCCTTTCCTGGAAGTGTTGTGACAAACATTCTTCCGTCTGCATCCGTTGCAACAACCCTTTTTCTGGTTGCATTGCTGCTATGACCCTGTTTCCAGTTATGTTGTGATGATTATCCTTTTTTTCTAGTAACGTTGTTGCAATAACAGTTTTCCCAGCTGTGTTGCGGCGAGAACCGTTTTCACGATAATGATTTCCCAGTTACAGTATATTCTGGCCTATAAGACTACTTTTTAACCCAAGAAAATCTTCTCAAAAGTCAGGGGTCGTCTTATACGCGGGTGTAGTCTTATGCATGGGCGTTGTCTTAACTCTATATTTTAACTGGAAAAGTTGGGGGTCGTCTTATACGCCCAGTCGTCTTATATGCCGGAATATACGGTACATTGTTCCAACGACCCTTTCTCTGATAGCGTTGTTGCAACAAACCTTCTTCCTGTTGTGTTGTTTCTATGACACTTTTTCCAGTTACGTTGTGGCGATGACCCCCTTTCTAATGACGTTATAATGACTGGTTCTCCAGTTGTGTTGTGGCAACAACCCCTTTCCTGTTTGTATTGTTGCAACAACCCTTTTTTCAGTTACATTTTTGGGATTATCCGTTTCCCAGTTATGTTGTTATGATGACCCTTTTCCCGATTAATGTTGTTACACGAAGAACACATTCCTGACCTAACTGTGGATAATATGACCATTGGTTGACCTCACTTCCCGGAATAGAGTTGTGTTGGAGAACCTCAACATTCGTGATTTGACCCTCCTTTCTCTTTTCGTTTCCTCCTTCCTTCCTTTCTTACCTGGCCTCAGGTTGTTTAGAGGTCCTCCTCATCCGGATGATCCGCGCCTTCAACCCCTTGAACAACACAGTGCTCTATGCTGGGAAATATGGCGGGATACAGATGTTCAAGGCATTGGGTAAATATCATAAGAGGATAATACCTTGTACAAATTTAATTTAATTCCTGAATTTATTGTGGAAAACTGTATTGAAATGGACAACTTCAAATAGGAGCTACCAGAGAGGTCAAAGCGCAATGAGAAGCTCATTCCAAATCATGGCTGTCTCCAACTCTTTCCTGTTTCCTTTTAGGCTGCGATGACCTAATCGATTCTGTTTTTGACTTGGGGGAAAACCTATGTCGGCTTCAGCTTTCGGACGAGGAGATTGCACTGTTCACAGCCACGGTCCTGCTTTCCCCAGGTGGGTCATGAGCGGCAGTGGAAGAGAAGGAAAAGAAAGCCAGACAGACTTAGAAGCCAAAAACTAATCCTTTCTATCTCTATACTGCCTACTTCTGGCTGTATCTGCATACATACATACCTAGAAATCAGTAGTTAATCCTTTCTATCTATACACTCCCCTCTTATGGTTGCTTCTGAGTACATACAGATTGAGAGGCCTGTAGCTAATCCTTTCTATCTCTATACTGCCCTCTACTGGCTGTACCTGGAAATTGCATATATACATACTTAGAATCCTTTTTATCTATACACTGCCCTCTTATGGCTGCATCTAAGCATTGTGTATATACATACCTAGAAGTCAGTAGCTAATCCTTTCTATCTATACACCACCCTCATGTGACTGGATCTGAGCATTGCATATATACATACCTAGAAGTCAGTACCTAATTCTTTCCATCTATACACTTCCCTCTTGTGGCTGTATCTGAGCATTGTATACATTGTATTGTATACCTAGACGTATATATTGTATGCCTAGAAGTCGGTACCTAATTCTTTCTATCTATACACTGCTCTCTTGTGGCTGCGTCTGAGCACTGCATATATACATACTTAGATGTCTGTAGCTAATCTTTTCTATCTATACACTGCCTTCTTGTGGCTGCATCTGAGGACTGCCTATATGACCTAGAAGTCATAGCTAATCCTTTCTATCTATACACTGCCCTCTTGTGGCTGCATCTGAGCATTACATACATACATATCTAGAAGCCATGAGCAAATCCTTTCTATCTATATACTGCCCTCTTGTGGCTGCATCTGAGCATTATATACATACATATCTAGAAGCCATGAGCAAATCCTTTCTATCTATACACTGCCCTCTTGTGGCTGCATTTGAGCACTGCCTATATGAGCTAGAAGTTAGTCGCTAATTCTTTCTATCTATGCACCACCCTCTTGTGGCTGTATCTGAGCACTACGTCAATACATACCTAGAGGCCAGTAGCTAATCCTTTCTGTCTCACTGATGCTGAGCTTGGCTTGTTCTTTCCCAGATCGGCCCTGGCTTTCCGAATCGAAGAAAGTGCAAAAGCTGCAGGACAAGATCTACTTGGCTCTGCAGCAGGAGGTCCAGAAGAAAAACACCTACGAAGACAGGCTTTCCAAGGTGAGTGGTGGGTCTTCTGGCCATCTTTTGGGAGGGCTTGGGTGGTATTGTGAATTCTTTCTTGACTCTAGGCGTAATGCCAAGTATTTTCAAGGAGGTAGTAGTGAGGTCTCTTTTGAAGAAACTGGCACTGAATCCCACTCAACTCAACCACTATAGGCCAGTTTCAAATCTCCCCTTCCTGAGTAAGATTCTGGAGAAAGTAGCCGCTTCACAACCCCAAAGGTTCTTGGATGAAACTGATTATCTGGATCCATCTCAATCTGGGTTCAGGCCTGGCCATGGGACAGAGACGACAGTGATCACCTTGCTAGATGATCTACGAAGAGAACTAGAAAGGGGGAGTGTGTCCCTACTTGTTTTCCTGGGCCTCTCAGCAGCTTTTGATACCATTGATCATAGTGTCCTCCTGGGCCAGCTCTCCAGAATGGGGCTTGGGGGCACTTTTTTACAGTAGCTTCGTTCCTATCTGGAGGGTTGGATCCAGAAGGTGGAGCTGGGGGACTCTGGTTCGACTCCCTGGCTGGTGGCCTGCGGCGTTGCTCAGGTTTCAGTTCTGTCCCCCATGCTGTTTAACATTTACATGAACTGCTGGGAGAGATCATTCAGAGTTTTGGAGTTGGGTATCAGATTTATGCGGACGACACCCAACTCTATTACTCCTTCCCACTCAATGGCAAGGATGCCATCCTGCCGCTAAACCAGTGGTTGTCATCAGAGATGAACTGGATGAGGGCTAATAAATTGAAGGTAAATCCAGACAAAACAGAGGTACTCCAGGTCAGTCGGAATGCAGATCGGGGTGTGGGATTTCAGCCTGTGTTGGACTTGGTCGCACTCCCACTCAAAACACAGGTCCGCGGTCTGAGTGTGATCCTGGACTCACTGCTGATCCTGGAACCCCAGGTCTCGGCGGTGGCCAGGAGCACCTTCACACAATTAAAACTTGTGCACCAGCTGCGCTCCTACCTTGAGACGCCAGATCTGGCCATGGTAGTCCATGCCTTAGTCACATCCCGTTTGGACTACTGCAATGCTGTCTATGTGGGGCTGCCTTTGAAGACAGTTCAGAAGCTTCAACTGGTTCAGAAATCGGCAGCCAGATTACTAACTGGAATCCCGTACAGGGAGAGATCCACTCCCACATTGTGGCAGCTCCACTGGCTGCTGGTCTGCTTCCAGGCTAAATACAAAGTGCTGGGCATTACCTTTAAACCCCTAAACGGCTTGGGTCCAGGCTATTTGACTAACCACATCTCCTCCTATAAACCAGCTCGGGCACCGCAGTCAGCAGAGGGAGGCCCTGCTTTCGGTCCCACCTCCATCCCATGTGGTGGGAAAGAGAGAGAGGGCCTTCTCCATGATCGGCCCCACCTCTTTAACTCCCTCACTAAAGCAATAAAAATGCCCCCCCCCTCCTCTCCTTCAAAAAAACAAGTGAAGATTCACTTTTGCACAGTAGCATATGGAGAGGAGGAGGATTAGATAATGTGTGATCACTAACGGACCTCCGGTTGAGAACTAATATTCTATTTGGGGTCTGTTAGTCCATGTCTTATTTTCTGGACCTTGGGGTCCCTTCCAACTCTAGGAACCTTTGATGCCAGAACCCCATTCCTCCATGAACCTATTAATACCCATGAGAGTTGGATGGCCATCTGTCGGGAGGGATCGGGTGGTGTTTCAAGTCAAGTTTTATTTGATGCTTAGACCATAGGTCTTTCACACATAAGGCAAACAAATAAATACATGAAAGCCAGATTATTAAGTACAATATAAAATACACAATTAAACTCCTAAATAAATTGTTACAATGCAACATTTATCAATGGCCAGCTACTGATCAAATGACATTTAATATAATGCCAAGTTTTTAAACTTTGTGTTTTTTTAAATACATTACAACTGTACCCTTGGTTCACTCCTGATACAATAAATAAATAGTTGAAGGCAGCTGATAGTAATTTTCCATTCTTAGTTAGCCTTCTCTGCATGCTTGTAAAATACTATAATTGGAAGTCCACTCCAACAGGAAGGTGTGACAGTTCCTTTACTCGGCGTGAGCTGACATTGTTACCACTATTTTGCAAATAGTAAAGTGCTGAAATGAACTCGACAGGCAGATTTCCCCAACAAGCAAACAGAATAATATGCAAACAAGTTACTAGTGGAGGCTTGAGAAAGTTGCTATTTCCAACAGTGATTGGGTGGTGTCTTCCTTTATGGCCGAAGGGGGTTGGCGCTTGGGGTCTCTTCCAACTCTAGGTGTCTTTGATCATATTCCTCCATGAACCTATTAATGCCTATGAGGGTTGGATGGTCCTTTCTCGGGAAGGATCAGATGGTGCTTTCCTTAATGGCAGAATGGGAAGGGCCCTTGGGGATCCCTTCCAAGGTTGGGATGCTATAATTCCCTGTTTTCTCTCCCTGTCTTCCCCTAGATGGTCTCCAAGCTGCCCGTGATGAAGACCATCTGCCGCCTTCACCTGGACAAGCTGGCCTTCTTCCGCCTGGTCCACCCAGAGACAGCCATGGACTTCCCTCCGCTCTACAAGGAGGTCTTCAACACCGAACTCCATTACGATGGCAGCGAAAGCTAAGGTCAGCTCTTCCGGGGAGCAAGACGGACCGAATCCGGGAAATTCAGGCCCAGAAAAACCAAGGTCTTTCCCAATCGGGATCTTTGCCTGCCACTGAATGTAAACAGGTCTTGGGAACATGCATACACACGGTTCGGACAGATCACCTGGATCACAATGATGATTCTACGCCAGCGAATGTGAACCGCAAAGTTTCAGATTCATCTGCAACAAAGACCGCCCTGAACATTGTGTTTTTGGAGTTAAGAACTCCCATTTATTTTATTTTTGCGTAATTGCGCAATCGCGCAATCCTGGATTTAATTTATATGGCGAATGTTGGGGGGCTGGCCCCTCCGGCAGGGAGGAAAAGATGGTGAATAATGATGCATTTCCATTGAGAAATCATGCTGCTAATCTAGTCATGCGGTTGGACTGTTTCCCATCAGCCCCATGACAAAACAGCCATAATAAATGGCTCCTGGGGTCTTTCGGTGTTGGGACTTTAGGAAAGGATCCAGTCTTTTCCATATTCTATCCCTATGTTAAGTTATCCCCAAAAGACCCTTAAATACTGCAAATTTGGGGGGGGGGGGAATCACATCTCTTCATCCCCAAAATGTGTAAGGTTTGGGGTGAGAAAAGTATATAAAACGTAAAGGAGATAAACATGACAATCAAATCAAATTAAACACTCTTTAAACAGCCAAAACCATTTTTAAAAAACCATTAAAATTGCACTTTATTCATCAGATCCAGTCCAATTAATCTTGGCTCCGAATCCCAGTTGCACCATTGAGGCGTATTTGACAATCTCCTCTTTTTAATAAGGATGTTTTGTAAATATCAGCATGTCGTTTTTTAAAGAAATGTTTCCAATGACCCCTTGACCGCCTTGTTGACCCCTTTATGGCCGCACACTGCTGATGACCATACTTGTGCACTTTTCCTTGCTGTCCTAAACCTTTTGGAAGGTATATATAAATATATATTTGTTTTATTTCAAAAGACTTTGTCCCATTCCCTGATTGGGGTTCATGGTTGTTTTAAGGCTTCAGTCCACTCCAGGTTGTAGTCCAAACTGTAAAGGAGATGCTTTAAAGTTTAGACTAAAATACTTCTAAACCCACCCCCCAAAATATTGATATGAGTCTCCATGTCATTGCCAAACAAATAAGAAAAGTCCACTGAAATTCAGTCTGCAATCTGGACCCCGTAAATATTTGGTCTGCAATCCACACACCATGAATATGCAATCTGCCCCTACACATATGCAGTCTACACCCCATAGAATATTCAGTTTGCAATCTGCACCCTACAAATACTGAATCTGCAATCTTAACTTCACAAATGTTCAGCCTGCAGTCTGCACCCACAAATAGGCAGTCTGCAATCCGAACTCCACATTTATTTAGTCTGCAATCCAAACCCCAAAATATTTAGTCTGCAGTCTTAACCCCACAAATATTCTGTTTGCAAACTAAACCCCACAAATATTTAATCTGTACCCATGAGTATTCAGCCTGCAATCTGAATTTACAAATACTCAGCCTGTAAACTGCACCTACGAATAGGCACTTTGCCCTGCACCAATATTTAATCTGCAATCTGCACAGCACACATCTCTGATCTGCAATCTGCACCCTACAGATATTGAATCTGCAATCTGAACCCCACAAATATTGAATCTGCAATCCAAATGCCACAAATACTGAACCTGCAATTTGAACCTGATGAATATTTGGTCTGCAATCTGCACTAATGAGGTTTCAGTCCGCAATCTAAACCCCACAAATACTCAGCCTGCAATTTGCACCAGTGAGTAGGTAATCTGCCCCCACCAATATTTAATCTGCAAGTTGGACCCACGGATATTGAGTCTACAATCTGAACACCCGAATATTCAGTCTGCAGTCTGAACCCCACAAATATTTAATCTGCAATCTGAACAGCACAGATATTCAGACTGCAATCTGAACCCCACAAATATTTAATCTGCAATCTGAACAGCACAAATATTCAGTCTGCAGCACAAATATTCAGTCTGCAGTCTGAACCCCACAAATATTTAATCTGCAATCTGAACAGCACAAATATTCAGTCTGCAATCTGAACCGCACAAATATTCAGTCTGCAATCTGCAACTCGTGAACCCATGTATGAAAAGCGGAGGGGAAAGTCAGTGAATCTCTTCTCGTGAATGTCGGTGCAAACGAGAACATTTATACATTTCTGCTTTTCTGTCTTTTTTTCTTAAAAAATTGCTTTGTGTTTTGAGCGAAACGGGGGGTGGGGCGGGGCGGGGGAAGTGTTTGTGAAACACGGGAGACACGCGCACGCAGCACACTTGTGGAGAGGGAGGGGCCGGCGATATTTTCACAAGGAAATGCGCTTTAGATGTAGAGGAAGGGACTGCTTCGACTGAATGCATTGAATGTCTTGTTTTGTGCAAAATCATCATTTCTATTTTTGTAAAATGAGGGAAAAAGAAGGAGACGAAATGACGTTTTGTGTAAAAATCCTGATGGGGGAAAAAGTGGAAAGAAGGTGTTTATTTAAATGAGGAGGGATTTTTTTCGGGTTTGTTTTTCATACAATTTCAAAATAATATAATGTATTTAAAAGACCTTCGGCTCAAGATGTTATGCTAGCGAACGATAGCTGTATGTTGCACAAATCCAGAGAAATAAAAGTGAAGGGGAAATCATTTTATGTTTCGCCTCATTTTTTTCTTTTTTTAAAGGAAAAAAAATCTAAATATATGCACATAATAAAAGTGAAAATATACGTGTGTGTGTGGCTGGGATGTACACTTACACAGACAAGCTCTGCCTCCACAAACAGCTTTAGCTCCCACTACCCAGGAAACACCAATGGCCCTCCCTCCAATGACATTGCAGGTTATGGTGAGTGCCATGAACATGTCCAAGAGCCCTGCCAAGGTCCTCCACAAACACCACACTGCCCACCACCCAAGTGAAGGCTTTCATATGGGGACAATTCCATCTTAGATTTGATGTGTTTCCTCCACCACTGATATCCCAGTGTTTCTGACTCTCTCCATTGGTGTGGAATTTGCATGGCACTGCCCGCAGCCTCTCTCTTAACCCTTTCCTACTCTTTTCTATGGCACACAGAAAACCAAGGAATTGATCAGCAAAGGAACATACTAAAGAGGTTTGGGGAGAATCACCATAATTTATAGGAGTTGTAGGTCCTGGGATGTATAGTTCACCTGCAATCTAAGAGCACTCTGAACTCCACCAATGATGGAATTGGACCAAACCTGGCACACAGAGCCCCCATGACCAGCAAAAAATACTGGAGATCTTTGGGGAAAATTCACCGTGATTTGGGGGAGTTGTAGTTCCCCTACATCCAGAGAGCACTGTGAACCCAAACACTGATGGATCTGGACCAAACTCAGTACACATACCTGATATGCCGAAATTTGATTGCTGGAGGGGTTTAGGGGGAACTGAGCTTCCTTTCTGGGATTTGTAGTTCATCTACAACCAGAGAAACTGATGATGGACCTGGGCCACACTTAGCACACTTAACCCCCATGACTCACTCAACCTACTGGAGGGGTTTAAAGGGACTGACTCACCATAGTGGGAATTGTAATTTACCCTATAGTCAGAGAGCACACTGAACCCCACCGGTGCTGCATCCAGAGCAAACTTGCCCAACATAACAAACTTTAAGTACTGATGGAGTTTTTCAGGGTTAACCTGGCATGTTGTGTGTTGTAGTTCACACACAACCTTATGCATTTTGTACAATTAAAAAACTGACTTTTTCAAATAACATCTCGTGCCCAAGCTAGTACATATATAAACATATGCTAGGTCTCGGACAGAAAATCTCATCCTCTACCCAAAGGAATTGTAAATAAGACTGCATCTACATTGGGGGGCCTCAAGGCTGGTGTTTGTAGTTTTCTAAGAGCATTTTTGGATTAAAAGACACCATAGCATCCCAGGATTTGTAGTTTTCCAAGGGCATTTTTAAATTAAAAGATGCCATAAAATCCTGAGCATTTTGAGGATTAAAGTATGCTGGGGTTTGTAGTTTTCAGAGGCATTTTGGGGGATTAAAGGATGCCAAAGCATCCTAGTACACAAGCATGGGGACAATTTCAACAGAAAGGAGGAAACCATGAAAATGAACAAAATCTGGCTACCAGTATTAAAAAACTAAAAAATTACAACAGCAAAACAACAGAGGGGAAACAAACAGGCACATAAAATCACCTCTCAACAAAAGTTTGCTCCAGGCACTGTCAGGCCATTATATGCTAATCAAGGTGATCAGTTGAAACATTCACACCTAGCTCCAGCAGACAAGAGCCCTTTGTCCCACCCTAGTCATTCCACAGATATATAAAGCCTTTTTCCTAGTTCCAACAGACCTCACTACATCTGAGGATGTTTGCCATAGATGCAGGCGAAATGTCAGGAGAGAATGCCTCTAGAACATGGCCATATAGCCTGAAAAAACCTAAAACAACCCAGTGATTCCGGCCATGAAAGCCTTCGACAAAACATCCCAGATTTTGTAGTTTCCAAAAGGTTTAGGGGAGGTTTAAAGGGTTGAAAGATGCCATAAGATCCCAGGATTCATAGTTTTCCATTGGCTTTTTATTGGGATTAAAGGATGCCAGAACATCCTGGGATCGGAAGTTTCTAAGGGCTTTTTGAGATTGAAGGATGCCAGGACATCCTGAAATTTGTAGTTGTCTGGTGGGTTTTTGGGGAAGAATGCCATGGCATCCTGGAATTTGTAGTTTTCCAGGGGCTTTTAAAATTGGGATTGAAAAATGGCACAGCATCCAAAGAATTGTCGTTTTCCAAGAGCTTTTATAAAATTGGGATTAAAGGATGCCATCGTATTCTGAGATTTGTAGTATTCTGACAGGTTTTTGGTATTAAAGGATGACAAAACATCCCGGGATCTGTAGTTTTCCAAGGGCTTTAAAATTGGGGTTAAAGGATGCCATAGCATTCCGGGATTGGTAGTTTCTCAGGGTCTTTTTATTGGAGTTAAGGATGCCACAGCATCTCAGGATTTGTAGTTTTCTGAGGGTTTTTTTAAAAGGGAATTAAATGGTGCATTTATATTGTTGAATTAATGTACTTCGGCACCGCTTTCATTGCCATAGCTCAAGGCTATGGGGATGCCGGGATCTGCAGGTTCCCGAGGGTATTAAAAGAGTTGTTGTTCATTCGTTCAGTCGTCTCCGACTCTTCGTGACCTCATGGACCAGCCCATGCCAGAGCTCCCTGTCGGCCGTTACCACCCCTAGCTCCCTCAAGGTCAGTCCAGTCACTTCAAGGATGCCATCCATCCATCTTGCCCTTGGTCGGCCCCTCTTCCTTTTGCCTTCCACTTTCCCCAGCATAATTGTCTTCTCTAGGCTTTGCTGTCTCCTCATGATGTGGCCAAAGTACAACTTTGTCTCTAGTATCCTTCCCTCCAGTGAGCAGTCGGGCTTTATTTCCTGGAGGATGGACTGGTTGGATCTTCTCGCAGTCCAAGGCACTCTCAGAACTTTCCTCCAACACCACAGCTCAAAAGCATCGATCTTCCTTCGCTCAGCCTTCCCTAAGGTCCAGCTCTCACATCCGTAGGTGACTACAGGGAAAACCATGGCTTTGACTAGGCGGATCTTTGTTGCCAGTCTGATGTCTCTACTCTTTACGATTTTATCGGGACTGGACATTGCTCTCCTCCCAAGAAGTAAGCGTCTTCTGATTTCCTGGCTACAGTCTGCATCTGCAGTAATCTTTGCACCTAGAAATACAAAGTCTGTCACGGCCTCCACGATTTCTCCCTCTATTTCCAATTGTCAATCATTCTTGTTGCCATAATCTTGGTTTTTTTGACGTTTAGCTGCAACCCGGCTTTTGCGCTTTCTTCTTTCACCTTGGTTAGAAGGCTCCTCAGCTCCTCTTCGCTTTCGGCCATCAGAGTGGTGTCGTCTGCATATCTGAGGTTGTTAATGTTTCTTCCAGCAATTTTCACCCCAGCTTTGCATTCATCAAGCCCCGCACATCGCATGATGTGTTCTGCATACAAGTTAAAGAGGTTGGGTGAGAGGATGCAGCCTTGCCGTACGCCTTTCCCAATCTTGAACCAGTCTGTTGTTCCGTGGTCAGTTCTGTACAGATTCCTCAGGAGAGAGACAAGGTGGCTTGGTATGCCCATCCCACCAAGAACTTGCCACAATTTATTATGATCCACACAGTCAAAGGCTTTAGAATAGTCAATGAAGCAGAAATGATGTTTTTCTGAAACTCCCTGCCTTTCTCCATTATCTAGCGGATATTGGCAATCTGGTCTCTCGTTCCTCTGCCTTTTCTAAACCCAGCTTGAACATCTGGCATCTCTCGCTCCATGTATTGCTGGAGTCTTAAAAGAGACCCAAGCTATATTGTTAATAAGGGATGTATTTGTTTCCAAAGCGAACCCGCAATCACGACTCCGCATGTCACTCTAACCGAAAGTCCAAGCGTTTCCTTCCTGCGCCCTGTAACCAATTCACGCGCGTTCTTTCGCCACGTGACCGAAAGGCGGCGCAGGGCCTCGTTCGGGTCCGCGGAGCACGCTGGGAACTGCAGTCCAACGACTCGTAGGGCTCCATAGAAAAGCCTCTCCGGAGAACTACAACTCCCAGAGGAGCCCCGCGGCAACGGCTTCAGAATCACCAAAGGCCCACCGTGGCGGCGGCAGAAGTCGGGAGCAGCGCAGGCGAGTAGATAAACGTTTGTTATTCTCCTTTCTCCCCATTAATTGCCCTTAATAACAAATAATAAAACAATAAGAAATCAGAATAATATAAAGTAATAATAAAATATAAATGTCAGGTATATATTATGAATATGATATATTATAACCGAATATGTTAAATATGTGATAATATAATATAAATACAATATATTATAACATAATAATTATGTGTGTGTGTTGTCGAAAGCTTCCATGAGTGGAATCACTGGGTTGCTGAGAGTTTTCTGGGCTGTCTGGCCGTGTTCCAGAAGCATTCTCTCCTGACGTTTCACCCACATTTATGGCAGGCATCCTCAGAGGTTGTGAGGTCTGTTGGAAACGAGGCAAGTGGGTTTTATATACCTGTGGAATGATGTCCAGGGTGGGAGAAAGAACTTTTGTCTGAGTCAAGTGTAAATGTTGCAATTGGCCACCTTGATTAGCATTGAATGGCCTTGCAGCTTCAAAGCTTGGCTGGTTTCTGCCTGGCCACAGCAAATTTCATCATGGGGCACTTTAAAAAACAATCCCTGGAAACAACAACAACAAAAAACACTGTATGGTTTAGATGTGTGGATGGCACCTCAACCATTTGGAGCCATGGAGAAGAAGAATTCAAAAAGTTCCTGGACCGCTTCAACAGCATCCACTCAAACATTCAATGGAAAAAGAAAATGAAGGAAAACTGCCATTTCTATCTGCAAACCCAATCAACAATCGAGCCACACAGTTTACAAAAAACCTACACACACATATAGATACCTACATAAGGTATCTATCCAATCATCCCATGAAACAACAGACTGGTTCAAGATTGGGAAAGGAGTATGACAGGGCTGTCTGTTCTCACCCTCTCTATTCAACTTGTATGCAGAACACATCATGCAACATGCAGGGCTTGACGAATTCAAGGCTGGAGTTAAAATTGCGGGAAGAAACATTAGCAACCTTAGATATGCAGATGATACCACTTGGGTGGCTGAAAGCGAGGAGCTGAAGGAGCCTGATAATCAAAGTGAAAGAAGAAAGTGAAAAAGCTAGTTTGCAGTTAAACATTAAAAAAAACCAAGATTATGGCAACTAGACTGATTGGTAAATGGCAAATAGAGGGAGAAAACGTGGAGGCAGTGACAGACTTTGTATTTCTAGGTGCAACGATTACTACAGATGTTTCCTTCTTGGGAGGAGAAGTGAAGAGTAGAGATGTCACACTGGCAACAAAGATCCGCATAGTCAAAGCAATTCTATTCCCCGTAGCAACCTATGGATGTGAGAGCTGGACCATAAGGAAGGCTGAGCGAAGGAAGATAGTCACTTTTGAACTGTGGTGTTGGAGGAAAATTCTGAGCATGCCTTGGACCACAAGAAGATCAAACCAGTCCATACTCCAGAAAATAAAGCCCAACTGCTCACCGGAAGGAGGGATATTAGAGGCAACATAATGAAAAGACAAGAGCTTGGAGAAGAGAATGATTCTGGGGAAAATGGAAGAAAAAAAGGAAGAGGGGCCAACCAAGGGCAAGATGGATGGATGGATGGATGGATGGTATCCTTGAAGTGACTGATTTGACTTTGAAGAATCTTAGCGGTGGATCACTCGGCTCGTGCGTCGATGAAGAACGCAGCTAGCTGCGAGAACTAATGATTGCTAATGACTTTGAAGAAGCTGGGGGTGGCCACGGCTGACAGGGAGCTCTGGCGTGGGCTGGTCCATGAGGTCACGAAGAGTCAGAAGTGACTGAACAAATAAACAACAACAAATCCAATAATCACCCAGGTCAAAAAAAGCACAATCAAAGCCCTGGCAGACCATGCAGAGAGAATCTGTGAAGCCCACGTCCTCCAAGGTGAATGGAACCCCCTCAACTGGGCTCTACAGGCCAATGGAGACTCCATCACAGACATCAGAAGAGCTGCAAGACCAGAACAGGACACAGAGCAAAGACAAAGATCCACCCAGAGGAAAAGTGTTCTTGCCATACATCAAGGGATCCGCTGACCACATAGGGAAACTGACGAAGAAACACAACCTACAAACTATGTACAGACCCCTAACAAAACCCAACAACTGCTCCATTCAGTAAAGGACAAGAGGGATCCTCTCACCTCTGCAAGAATCTACTGTATACCATGCAGCTGTGGACATAAGGACCACTAAACGCATCAGCATTGCCCAAACACGCATCAAGGAACATGAAAGGCACTGCAGACTAATTCAATCAGAGAAGTCAGCCATAGCAGAGTACCCGATGAACCAACCTGGATACAGCATATGATTGGAGAACATAGAAATGCTGGACCACTCAAACAACCATGTCAGACGACACAGAGAAGTCATTGAAATCCACAATCACGTGGAAAATTTCAACAGAAAGGAAGAAACCATGAAAATGAACAAAATCTGGCTACCAGTGTTTAAACACTCTAAAATCAAGACACTAAATAAAGAGCAACACTCAGAAAACAGGGGAATTCCAGACAGGAAACAATCAAGGCCAGCTAACACCTCCCAACGACGGATTTCCCCAGGCAGGAAGCAGCCAGACTTTGAAGCTCCAAGGCCATTAAATGCTAATCAAGGTGGCCAATTGCAACATTCCCACTTGCCTCCGACAGACAGTAATTCTTTCTCCCACCCTGGACATTCCACAGATATACAAACCCCACTTGCCTAGTTTCCAACAGACCTCACAACCTCTGAGGATGCCTGCCACAGATGTGTATGAAACATCAAGAGATAATACTTCTGGAACATGGTCAGACAACCCAAAAAACTCACAGCAACCCAATTTTAGTAATATCTGTGACCAACTAGTAGTAATAATTGTAACAATGTAATAGTTCTAGTAATATCTGTGACAATAACTAGTAGCAATAATTGACAAATGTATTAATAATTGTAGTAATATCTGTGACAATAACTAGTAGTAATAAATTGTGATAATGTATTCTAGTATTATCTGTAACAATAACTACTAGTAATAATGATCCCAATAATCTCTAGAAAGGGGGTCATATGCAAATAATGGATATTCATATTCTATTAGGGCGCTTTGGAAGGGGATCTAATTTCAGTTGGGTTCATTGCTTGGGATCTGAATGTGTCTGGCTAGGGATTCTTCCCCAAAATCTTGGGAAACTTGGGGCCGAATCCTTCCCTCCGCAGCTGCTTTCTTGGCAAACGGAGCCAGTGAGCCCAACACTCGGCTCTTTGTATAAACCACAATTTGTTTTTTAATGGGGAGAAAGAGTGGGAGGCTTATGGCCTCCACACAAGAGGGGGTCTGTCTGGTTTGAGGCGGGACCCGGGTCAGGCGTCATGAGAAAGGAGAGCATTCAAATTCATACTTTTTCGAAAGACACAAGCGGCTGAGACCTTTCCAATGAGACTTCACAGCTTGCACACTTCATTCGAATGTTTGCCAGGTTGGGTATGCATGCAAAGTTTGGTTCAGATCCATCCTCAGTTGGGTTCATAGTGCTCTTTGATTGTGGGTAAACTACAACTCCCAACATCATGGACAGTTTATCCCCAATCCTCGACAGTTTTAAACTTGGTTATGTTGGGTCTTTGTGCCAAGTGTGGTTGAGATGCGTGGTTGGCAGGAGTCACAGTGCTCTCTGGATGGAAGTGAACTATAACTCCCAACCTCCCAAATCCAATCCTCTCCAAACGCCCACCGTCTTTGGTGGAGGTCACAAGGCTCTCCGGTGGACTACAACTTCCATTATCAATGGTCACTATATCTCCCAGATCCAGGATCAATTTTCCCCCTCCCACAACCTCCTGTATTTTCTGCTGGTCTTGAGAGGTCTGTGTGCCAGGTTTCGTCCAGATTCGTCATCAGTGGGAGTGACAGTGCTCTCTGGATGCAGGGCAAACTATAACTCCCAGATTCCAGTGTCAATTCCATCCTTGGTGGGCGTTACAATGCTCTATGGATGCAAGTTAAACTACAACTCCTGACGTCCAGGGTCAGTCTTGTCCTTGGTGGGACTTACTTACTTTACTTACTTACTTAGGCGATCCCTCATTTGCCGAGTAGAATAGTCTTCCAGGATCAGTATTCTTGTGGGTCCATAGGTGACTGTGGAGCCCTATTCTTGACCTGCATCTTCTCCCACAGTGAGGGCATTGGTTTCCAGGTGGAAGGCGGTCTCTGTCGCAGTTGGCTTGACGCGCCTTCCTCTTGGCACGTTTCTCTCTTTCACCCTCCATTCTGCAGCACTGCTGGTCACAGCTGACCTCCAGCTGGAGCACTCAAGGGCCATGGCTTCCCAGTTCTCAGTGTCTATGCCAGAGTTTTTTAAGGTTGGCTTTGAGCCCATCTTTAAATCGAATCACAGTGATCTCTGGATGCAGGGCGAAGTATAACTCCTGAAATCCAGGGTCAATCCTGTCCTTGATACATGCAAACAAATTTTCACATTTATTATAGAGATTTTTTGATCCATTTTGCAGCATTCTATGCTCATAAGACTCAAGAAGCTCCTCTTCTTTCTCCTTCTCTCTTTTAGGTGCATGATTTAAGACTTTGCGAACACAAACGGAAGAAGGAATGGCAGGTAAGAAAGAAATGGATGAAGAGTCTTGAACCTCTGCTGCTTATAGGGTTCAGTTTGGGGAACAATTGGGGTTTTTAGATTTCCTAGAATATATGGGATTCGGGCTCATAACTTTTCCTCCCATTAACGTGTCTTCTTTCATAGAAGAATTCCCGGAAACAAACCCAGACAGCCTTGTGTTTCCTGTGCTTTCTTTTGGTTTTTAGGCCCAACTGACTCAGCGTTTTTGTTAGAATCACATATTTCTATCAGTTTTGAAGAACTTTCCTTCTGAAGCTGGATCGGGAGGAATCTTTTCCCTCCATAAAACTATTGGCGATTCAGAGATTTATTGCGGTCTAGCTTGGGTACCCAGCATTACCCAAGTTATTTAAAGAAGTCGTTTTTTTATTTGTACAAAATGCATAAGGTTGTGGTTGAACTGCAACTCACATCATGCCAGGTTCACCCCCAAAAAACTCCCATCAGTACTTAAAGATTGTTATGTTACGCAAGTTTGCTCTCTAGATGCATCATCGGTGGGGTTCAGTGTGCTCTCTGGCTGTAGGGTAAACTACAACTCCCACATGGTGAGTCATTCTCCTCAAACCCCTCCAGTAGGTTGAGTTAGTCATGGGGGTTTGTTCTGTGTACCAAGTTTGGTCCAGGTCCATCATTGGTGGAGGTCACAGTTTCTCTGGTTGTGGGTGAACTACAACTCCCAGAAAGGAAGGTCAGCTCCCCCAAACCCCTCCAGTAATCAATTTTTGGCATATCGGGTAAGTGTGCCAAGTTTGGTCCAGGTTCATTGGTGTTTGGGTAAATAGTGCTCTCTGGATGTAGGTGAAATTATATATATAGATAGATAGATAGATAGATAGATAGATAGATAGATAGATAGATAGGTAGATAGGTATATGTATATATATAATGGTATATATATACACACACATATATACATATACATACATATATAGTATGTATAGGTGTGTGTGTGTGTGTGTGTGGATGGATGAATAGATGCATGGATGGATAGATAGATAAAATGGATAGAGATAGATATGTAGATGAATGGATGGATAGCTAGATTAGATAGATGGATAGATATAGAAATGTAGATGGATGAATAGATAGATGGACGATGGATGGATATATAAAATAGATATGTGGGTGGATGGATGGGTAGATAAAATAAGAGAGAGATATATAGATAGAAAAATAGATAGAGATAAATAGATATATGGATGGATAGATGGGCGGATGGATAGATAAAATAGATAAAAATGTAGATGGATGTATAGTCAAGCTAGATAAAATAGATAGGTAGGTAGATAGTAGGTAGGTAGGTAGATAGAAATGGATGAATAGATGGATGGATAGATAGAGAAAATAGATATGTGAATGGATGGATGGATAGAAAAGATATAGATAACTATTACACATTTAGAATTACTAAAATTTATTTAAAAATAGATATAGATAAGTGGATGAATGAATAGATGGATGGATAGATAAAATAGATATAGAGATAGATAGATATGTGGCTGGAAAGATAAAACAGATAAGCAATAGATATATGAATAGATAAGATAGAAAGATGTGGGTGGATGGATAGATGGATGTTAGATTAGATAGATTGATAGATAGAAATTAGTAATATTTATTTAAAAGTAGATATAGATATGTGGATGGATGAATAGATGGGTGGATAGATAGATAAAATGATAGAGATATGTGGATGAATGCATGGATAGATAGCTGTAGATATGTGGATGGATGAATAGATGGATGGAGATATAAAATAGATAAGTGATATGTGGATACATGGATGGATAGATATGTGGATAGATGAACGGATTGATAGATAAAATAGATAGAGATAGATAGAAATGTTGATAGACGGATGGATGGATGGATAGATAAAAAGGTATGTAGATCGATGGATAAGATAGATAAGAGATAGATATATGGCTAGATAGGGAGAGAGCGATGTAGATGGATGAATGGATAGACAGGTGATAGATTAGCTAGATAGATAGGTATATAGAGATAGATATGTGGATGGATGAATAGATGAATGGATGGATAGATAAAATATTTAGATAAGAGATATGTGAATGAATGGATGGATGGATAGATAGATGTAGATATGTGGATGGATGAATAGATAAATATATTTATTTATTTACAGTATTTATATTCCGCCCTTCTCACCCCAAAGGGTGAGATCACAGAACACATATATGGCAAACATTTAATGCCACTGTACACTGACAAGACAGACAACTGTACATAGATAGAGAAATATATAGGCTTCCCCATCTTCAGCATCTTAGAGGCTGTGCTTGGTTCCAGCCATGGGGAGTGTTGTCGCTCCACTTTCCCTACCGAAAAGCTTTGTTCGTAAACTTCCTCCTTGATTGAATCACCAGCATTTTTCTGGCATTTCCTTATGGGTGCTGTAAATACCCCCCCCCCCCCCCCCCCCGCTTTAAAGCGGTACCTATTTAGCAGAAGCTGGACTAAAGGTCAGGAGCTTACCTCTACCCAGGCTTAGAACTGTCAAATATTTGATTGGCAAGATTTACTGCAGCTGGTGATTAACCTGCTGTGCTAAAACCCGACCCTTCTGTGCCAAAGCCCAGCCCACATCTCTTTTACCTATCTATCCAGATGGTTGGATAGATAGATAAAATAGATAGATATGTGGATGGATGAATAGATAAGATAGTTAAGAGATAGCTATATGGATAGATAATATAGACAGAGAGAGATACAGAGAGATATGTGGATGGATAGATTAGATAGATAGATAGATTTACTTGTATATTTTTGAGTCAGATCTGCCCTTCCCTTCTCAGCGTTTGACCCCTTTCCCTTTTCTCTCAGCAGAGAAAGTGAACAACTTCCCTCCGCTGCCAAAGTTCATTCCACTGAAGCCCTGCTTCTACCAGAACTTCACTGATGAGATCCCCATTGACCACCAGAACCTGGTTCAGCGGATCTACCGTTTGTGGATGTGTGAGTTCAGAGCCTTGATGGCAGTGCAAAAGGCCAATGTGATCATAGACTGTGCCCATAGGACTCAAGTGTCAAGGGAAGCCATAGTTCCACTCTCTGATCTGCTTGGGTCAGACCAGGAATAACCTTCTCTTGATGTTTTGATATAAAATATGGATGGCCATCTGTCAGGAGGGTTTTGATTGTGTTCCTGCCTGGCTTAATGGGGTTGGACTGGATGGGCCTTGGGGGTCCCTTCCCACTCTGTGATTCTGTAACACCATTTCATTCCATAGACCTGCTGATGTCTATGAGGCTGGGAGGCCATCTGTCAAGAGAGATCAGATAGTGTCTTCCTACATGGCAGAAGGGGGTTGGACTGGATGGTCTTTGGGGGGTCCCTTCCCACTCTAGGCTTCTATGATTCTATAGCTGTATTTATCTCCATGAACCTGCTGATGTCTATGAGGCTGGATGCCCATCTGTCAGGAGAGATTGAATGGCATCTTCTTACATGGCAGAAAGGGGTTGGACTGGATGCCCTTTGGGAGTCCCTTCTGTGCTCCAACAGTCCTCCCTCTCTCCCACAGTTTACTGCATCACTTTGGGAGTGAACCTGGTGGCCTGCTTGGCCTGGTGGATCGGGGGTGGATATGGGGTCAACTTTGGCCTGGCCCTCCTTTGGCTCCTCCTCTTCAGCCCCTGCAGCTACGTCTGCTGGTTCCGGCCCGTCTACAAGGCCTTCCGGTAATGTATTGGCATATTATTAATAATATTAATAATATTCAATATTATTTAATATTTACATGCCTTTAGTTTTCATTCACACATCATTGTTGTTTTTAATTGTAGCGGGGTATAAATGTAATAAATAGAATATTAATCACATGGATGTGTTATTATTATTTGGTGAAGAAATAATAATAAGTAAAGGTGGTCCCAGTGGTGATCGGCACACTGGGTGCAGTGCCTAAAGACCTTGGCCTGCACTTAAACACAATCAGTGCTGACAAAATTACCATTTGCCAGCTGCAGAAGGCCACTTTACTGGGATCTGTACGCATTATTCGCCGATACATCACACAGTCCTAGATACTTGGGAAGTGTCCGACATGTGATCCAGTGCAACAGCCAGCAGAGTGATCTTGTCTGCTATAGACTCATCTTGTTGTGTTTCAAATAATGATAATATACATTAGGTTTTCATTCACACATTGTCATAGTTTTTAGTGTTTTCAAGGTATAGCTTAATATTTTAATAATAATAATAATAGTAATAATCACTTGTAGGTGTGTTATTATTTGGTGGAGAAAAAGCGGACATTAATATTCATATTACTAATAATAACGTTTATATGCATTAGGTTTTCATTCTCACATTGTCATAAATTTTATTGTCAGTGAGATATAAATATAAATGGTGCTCGCTTGTGGATTTATTTATTTATCGTGTCAGAAGCAAATTGAGGGTACAGTTGTAATATATTTTAAAATGCAAAGTTTAATCCTTGGCATTATATTAAATGTCCTTTGATCAGAAGCTGGCTTCTTGGAGTGCCTCTGGTGTTGCTATAAGAAGGTCCTCCATTGTGCATGTGGCAGGGCTCAGGCTGCATTGTAGTCAGTGGTCTGTGGTTTGTGCTTCTCCACGCTCGCATGTTGTGGATTCCACTTTGTGGCCCCATTTTTTAAGGTTGGCTCTGCATCTCGTGGTGCCAGAGCGCAGTCTGTTCAGCACCTTCCAAGTCGCCTGGGGGAGCTTCTCGTTTGGTTCTCAGCCATGGATTGAGGTTCCAGGATTTTACCTGCCATTTTTGGACTCTCACCTGCTGAGGTGTAGATCTTAGGAAGCTGTTTCTTGATTTGAGAAGTTGGCATACTGGCTGATATCCAAACAGAGGATGGGCCGGAGATGTCACTGCCTTGGTCCTTTCATTATTGGCTACTTCCAGATGGATGTCAGGTGGTGCAATACTGGCTAAACAGTATAATTTCTCCAGCCGTATTGGGTATAGACATCCTGTAATGATGTGGCATGTTTCATTCAGAGCCATATCCACTGTTTTAACATTGTGAGATGTGTTCCACACTGGGCATGCATACTTAGCCGCAGAGTAGCATAGCACAAGGGCAGATGTCTTCATTGTATCTGGTTGTGATCCCCAGGCTGTGCCAGTCAGCTTTCGTATGATGTTATTTCTGGCACCCACTTTTTGCTTGATAGTCAAGCAGTACTTCTTGTAAGTCAGAGCACAGTCCAGAGTAACTCCCAGGTATTTGGGTGTGCTCCAATGGGATTCCTCCACAGGTCATCCTCAGAGCTGGAGATACTTGTCTGTTCTTAAGGTGAAAAGCACATGTCTGTGTTTTAGATGGATTAGGAATCAGCTGGTTTTCCCTGTAATAGGCAGTAAGAGCACCTAAAGCTTCAGAGAGCTTCTGTCCAACCATTTCAAAGTTCCCTGCTTGAGCGGTGATGGCACCATCGTCAGCATAGATGAAACTCTCTGTCCCTTCTGGCAGTGGCTGGTCATTTGTGTAAGTGTTAAACATTAATGGAACAGGTACACTCCCCTGAGGCAGACTGTTCTTCTGTCTTCACGATGTGCTTCTCTGGCCCTGGAAATCAACAAAAATGATAATTTTATTCTTATATTCCACCACCATCTCCCCAAAGGGACTCAGGGTGGCTTAGAGGTGCCACAAAGTACCTAAAAGCGAACACAATATAAAATACAATAAAATGAAATACATGTACATATAAAAACATCAATTCAGACTCAATCAAGCTGTGGTCCTCCTGTTTTGTAGCAGATTTCCAATGATAATAATAATAATAATAATAATTATTATTATTATTATTATTATTATAGCAACAACAACAACACTTAAACACAATCGGCGCTGACAAAATTACCACCTGTCAGCTGCAAAAGGCCACCCTACTGGGATCTGCATGCATTATTTGTCGATACATCACATAGTCCTAGACACTTGGGAAGTGTCCAGTACAACACTCAGCATAGTGATCATGTTTGCTGTGTACTAATCTTGTTGTGTTTCTAATAATAATAATAATAATAATAATAATAATAATAAGTTTACATGCTTTAGGTTTTCATTCACTCATTGTCATAATTTTTCATGTTAAAGAGAAATAATCATCATCATCATTATCATCATAGCTTGTGGATGTGTTGCTATTTTTATTTGCATATTGACATTTGCTACAATCCCAAATTCCCTTCTGAGTTGGCATGAACTTCAATGAGAGGCCATTAGTCCATCCCAATTGGAAGTGGGGGAGTCTTCTTTCTATAATCTTTGAGGCATTTATTCTTTTTCCAAGCATGGCTTCTTATTATTTCCGATCCAGGGGCTTTGAGTATCTATTTTCCCTGCTAATCCTCCTCCCCGAAGCCGGATAAGCGGCTGGCTCATCCCTTTAGCCCTCTGTATGTATGTGTTTGCAATGACGACAATTCGGAAGGGAAGGCTGTTTTGTGGACGCTGCGAGAATGGCTTCGTGGCCTGCCAGCTTAGTTAGCAATGGCTGGGCGAGGGATTCTGTTGTGATAAATATGAAAAACATTCCTTGCTTGGCTTTAGATTTTTCAAATGGTCCCAGTAGAAAAGGGATAAAGACACAGGTAAACTACAACTCCTGTCCTCTGTCATTGCCCTCAGACCCCATCAGTATTGAAAGTTGATCACGATGGGTCTGTGTGCCAAGTTTGGTCCAGATCTGTCGTTGATTGGTCACAGGGCTCTCTGGATGCAGGATGAACTATAACTCCCAAAATCCAGGGCCAATCCCCCTGTAGTATGTTCTGTTGGCCATGTTGGGACTGTGTGCCAAGTTTGGTCCTGATCCATCATTGTTGGGAGTCACAGTGCTCTCTCAAGTGGAGGCCATCTTGGAAAAATACATACAAACAAACATACTTAGATACATGTATACTCACTTTAATTACAGATATTGATAGATACATATTTTACTTTATTTTTGACCCTGATATAAACACAGAAATGAGTGGACCATTTGTAAACATTAAAATGCATTAAAACAACACACACAAATGCAGTTTATTTATATATATACTAGTTTGGGTACCCAGCATTGCCTGGGTTATTTTAAAAAGTTGGTTTTTAATTGTACAAAATGCGTAAGGTTGTGGGTGAGCTACAACTCCCATCATGCCAGGTGAACCTCAAGAAACTCTATCAGTATTTAAAGTTTGTTATGCTGGGCAAGTTTGCTCTGGATGCATCACCAGTGGGGTTCCGTGTGCTCTCTGGCTGTAGGGTAAACTACAACTCCCACTATGGTGAGTCAGTCCCCTCAAAACTCTCCAGTAGGTTGAGTTAGTCATGAGGGTTCTGTGTGCCAAGATTGGTCCAGGTCCATCGGTGAAGGTCACAGTTTCTCTGGTTGTGGGTGAACTACAACTCACAGAAAGGAAGGTCAGTTCCCTCCAAACCACTCCAGTCATCAAATTTTGGTATATCAGGTATGTGTGCCAAGTTTGGTCCAGATCCATTAGTGTTTGGGTTTACAGTGCTCTTTGCATTTAGGTAAACTACAACTCCCCCAAATCAAGGTTCCCCAAAGCCTCCAGTATTATTATTTTTTTTGCTGGTCATGGGGGCTCTGTGTGCCAAGTTTGGTCCAATTCCATCTTTGGTGGAGTTTTGAGTGCTCATTGATTGCAAGTGAACTATAAATCCCAGTACCTACAACTCCAAAATGTCCAGGCCAATTCCACTCAAAACTCACTAGTATTCAAATGTCGGCATATCGGGCATACATGCCAAGTTTGGTCCAGATCCATAATTTTTTGGGGTTTATAGTGCACTCTGGATGTAGGTGAACTACAACTTCTATAAATCCCTCCAAAGACCTCCAGTATATTTTATTGGTTATGGGAGTTCTGCGTGTTAAATTAGTTCCAGATTCATCATTAGTGGAGTTCAGAGTGCTCTTAGATTGCAGGTGAACTATACATCCCAGTACTTTCAACTCTTATAAATCATAGTGAGTTCTTCCCAAACCCCTCCAGTATGTTAAGTTGCGGATCAATTCCTCTGCTTGCTGTGTGCCATAGAAAAGAATAGGAAAGGGTTAAAGGAGAGGCAGTGGGTGGGGTCGTGCAAATTCCACACCAATGGGGAGAATAAGGTACATTGGGATGCCTGTGGTGGAGGAAAATGAGAAAATCTAAGACAAAATTGTCCCCGTGTGAAAGCCTTCACTTGGGTGGTGGACAGTTTGGTGTTTGTGGAGGACATTGGCAGGGCTCTTGGACATGTTCATAGCGCTCACTATAACCTGCAATGTCATTGGAGGGAGGGCCTTTGGTGTCTCCTGAGTAGTGGGAGCTATAGCTGTTTGTGGACACAGAGCTTGTCTGTTTAAGTGGCCACTCCTGCCACATAAACACATACATATTTTCACTTTTATTATGTGATTCGATAGTTAAGATATTGATCTAAACCTCATGTCTTTTCCTTGACCGCAGGTCCGACAGCTCTTTCAACTTCATGGTCTTTTTCTTCATCTTCTCCGCTCAGTTTGTTTTGGCGGCCATTCAGGCCATTGGCATCAGCAACTGGGGAGCCTGGTAAGCTGGGGAGGGTTTGGGGGCGGATCTTTAAATCATACGCATATGATGTGGATGGATCATTCTTCCTTCTTTCTCTCCTTCCATAGTTTGGGAACTTCTGCCCTAGGGTTGGGTTCCTATGTCTCCCCTTTCCCTTTGGGGTGCCTTCCATTTCTGTGATCCTCCAATGCAGTCATAGTGTCCCCAGGTGGAGGGCACCTCAAAGGCCATTTAGTCCATCCCTTAATTGCCATCTTTGTCCCCTTAATTCCTTCCTTTCAGCGGGTGGCTGGCTGCCGTGACATTCTTCAGCACCAACGTTGGAGCTGCCGTCATCATGCTGCTCCCAGCCATCATGTTTACCCTTTCGGCGCTCGCCATGTTTGTGTGCCTCCTCCGGGTAAGGGGCACTTGTCTTGTGGGCCTGGGGAATGCCAATGGAGTTCTGGGTTGCATTGATAAGGGAAGTCCTTGTTGGAAATAGCATTCCCACCAAGCCTTTCGCTATTTATTTGATAATGTACGAGGGGTATTTTTTAAGTAAGGTCCGTTGGAACATAAGTACACAACGAAAGTTTATTTCAAAAAAGTAAATTTATTTTCAGAAAGTACATACTTCACTCTATTTTTTGACATAGTTGCCAAGTTTGTTCAAACACTTATCATACCTCTGAACCAATATTAAAATACCCTCTTCATAAATCCTCGCTTCAACTGAATCCACCAAATCGTCTGTAATCAAAGAAGGGCGACCGGAGCGGTCCTCATCATGGACGTTGTCACAGCCATCTTTGAATTGTCGTACACTTATGCACTTTGCTTTCACTCATAACAGTATCACCGTACACTTCACAAATCTGTCGATGAATTTCTGCAGCAGGCAGGTTCCTTGCTGACAAAAACTGTATCACTGAGCGAACCTCACATGCGGCGGGTGAGTTGATAGTCTTAAACATTTTTAAAACACAGAACAGAACCGTACAGGTTAGCTACAGAGTGTAAACTGAGCACAGTTGTTCCCGAGGCATGCCGGTACATGACGCACGCACTCGTTGCGGTATGCGCGCGAACTACTAGTGTCTACAACAAAACGGACCTTACTTAAAAAATACCCCTCGTATATATTTGCTAAGCTGTATTCTGTGTGTATATTGATTTGCCAGTTTGACTTATCTCTTTGGTGTGGGAGCAGTTATAGACATGTGATTGTACTGAGCATGTTCAGACACAGGACTCCGTTTTATATTCAGTCTGTTTACCAACTCATTGGAGGTGGATGTATGTTTCTTTTTGGATTTTAATGGATACATGTATACTTATGGACTTCAGTGTGTACAAATATACTTAAAGACTATGGATTATTGATTTAAAAGAATGATATCCTGCGTTCATAACACAGAGAAACATACATCCTATCCAAAACTGAACTTTAATAAGAAATGTGCCTTTATGGTGAATTAATACAAGTTGTTTGTGAGTAAACAAGATATGTTATTTTTCAAAGAAGACTTTGTTTTTATCTCTGAGTGCGTATTTTAACTATGAGGTTTCAAGGGAGTGTATATCTTTTGGGCAACTGCAGATTTCATCTTCAAAGAAACAACCATCCTTTACTAACCCAATATATTTTTGTAGTGGCATGTCTTTATCCTTGGTAGTTTAAAGACATGGTTCTTCAGTTTAACAGCTGAGTTACCTGTGTGCCATTACATGAATGTTTATGAATATCACTTGTTCAAAGGGTTGACTTCTAACAAGGTGATGCTTTTCTTGACTAGTGGTTTTCAAAAGGTGGCCTTCACATGTTCATGGAGATTCACATTTGCCAAATGGGACATCATTTTTACCTTTTCAATAAGGTTATGGTGCACTTATTTCCAATAGGTTATGGAATTTTCAATAGTCCTAGTCCCACTCTCTTCCGCATTGATCAGACCTCACCTAGGATAATGACCCTGTGGTCCAGTTCTGAGCAGCAGAATTCAAGGAAGTCTAGGGCAGGTTGTGTCCCTACATGGTGGGTTGGTCTAGACGGCCTTGGTGGTCTCTCCCCACTCTGTGATGCCATTCACGCCTTTTTTTCTCCTGTCCCCAACACCAGGTCCATCGACTTTACCGTGGTGGTGGTGGAAGCTTCCAGAAAGCGCAGGATGAATGGCAGAGTGGCTTGTGGCGGAACCCTCCGACCCGTGAAGCCCAGTTCAGCAACTTCTCGAGGAGCAGCCTCCCTGAATACCCGACTGTCCCCAACTACCCAGGAGGAAACCGGTGGCCTTGAATCTCCTGGTCGGACTGCCCAGATGGGTTATAATAGAAACGCCTGTGTTTTTGTTCCTTATTTGTTCCTTTTGGAGCGGGTATGGGGAAGAATGATACATCTGTCTTTCCTATACCTTCTCTCCCCGTTGCCAATCCTTGTTGGCGTTGGTTATTTTTCCACCCCGTAAATCAATTCCCCCCTTTTGATGATCCCGGAAAGACCGGGAATCCTCTTCTTATTGCCTTGTTCATTTGTACAGACGGGGTCGCCAATTGTTTGGGTTCTTTTATTACCTTGTCCATCTGTACCAATGGGATCGCCAATTGTTTGGGTTTATCTATTACCTTGTCCGTCTGTATTGATGAATCGTCAGTTGTTTGGGTTAGTCTATCTTGCCTTGTCGATCTGTACTGATGGGGTCGCCAATCATTTGGGTTCTTCTATCTTGCCTTATCCATCTGTACCAACAGGGTTGCCAATAGTTTGAGTTTGTCAATCTTGCTTTGTCCGTTTGTATTGACGGGGTTGCCAAACATTTGGGTTTATCTATCTTGGCTTGTCCATCTGTACTGAAGGGGTCACCAATTCTTTGGGTTCATCTGTCTTGCCTTGTCCATTTGTACCAACGGGGTTGCGAAATGTTTGGGTTCGTCTATCTTGCCATGTCTGTTTGTACCGACGGGGTCGCCAATAGTTTGGGTTCTACTGTATGGAGAAATGGGGGAAGTGTTCCCCCTTTTATTCTTCATTTTGCCACCAGGTGGGAGAGTCTTTGACCCTTCTTTGCCTAAAACAGCACTCTACTGCCATACTTTTTAAGTTTGGAGGCATGGAGATTTGTGTCGGGTAGGTGGCGTTCTTACATAGCTTGATTTCAAATAAGGGCCAATTTTGGGATCCTAGGACTTGATTCAAAGGGGAAACTTCCCAATGTTACCCCAAATGGGAACTCAGGTCTGTGGATGAATTACATTTTGATTTCGAGCGTAAAGTTTATTGATGCCGGTAGCATGGAGTGCTTTTACTGGGTCTGTATGACATTCAACGATATCCCCCCCCCCTTCTATTTTTCCTATTTTTTAAGGGAGTTTTTCTGTCCGGTCCTGAACTTTGGATGACCCTTTGTTGCAGTAATGTTTCACAAACCCTTCCACTCTCAAAGCTGGATTTGCCTTCTCAGGAGACTCTCGATGGCCACAAATGAACGGGAGACATCTTTCTGACCCTCAAAATCATGATTTTGGGCTGTACCTCCAACTCATTTGGGAAGGGAGACATGGCAATTTTCATTTTCCCAGCGTTGCCATTCCTATCTCCTTCCCAAAGTGAGTTTATTCCGCGTTTCTGTTTGTGTTGCAGAAACGGAAACCRCCCCAGTGATGGCTCAACAGGGCCTGACCTGATACTGGAACGAAAAGCCGTGATTACTGGTGCCTTAACTGGAGGATAGACCTCTTGGTCCCTTACGTGTTGCTTCATACAAACATTCCTTTACCCAGCGTTTTGTTTACGCTGAAGGTGACTCTTTATTTCTCCGTTCTRCTTTGTAAATATAAAGTGCAATTCAGCGCCCCTTCTCTCTATCGGGAGCTACATTAACGAATGAGCCAAAAAAGGGAGTCAAAAGTTAAAGAGACATAGAATGTGGTTCCGGGGGTCTCTTCCTCTCTCAAATCCAGTTTGTTTCCCAAATCCACTGGTTGCCAAACCTTTTTGTGTCAAGCCAATTCTGAGGTTTTGCCAGACACTTTTTGAGTCTCTTCAAATGTTTATCACACCATGTTTACACCGTGAGGTGGGGATAGAGAGCTTTGCCTTCGATAATTTGGCAGCAATCTACTTTAATGCCAAGTTATCTGAGCAGGGAAAGCAAAGAAAACTTGGTTGAAGTTTAGATTAAAAGGATTTGATGCCTTATTTCCGGGCCCTCCTTCACCTCTCGAAACGCTTCTGATCTTTCATCATAATGCTAAAGAGCCTTCATCTCAACGGGCGTATGGTACCTTTCCGCCATTTGTCTTAATGTAATATACCTATATATAAAATATTCTAATTAGTCTCTTGAAAATTTTTGTAACAATGTTTACACACTCGATTTCCCCAGGGAAGTCCTTCCTTCCCAATTTTGGGGAGGTGAACTAACAATACTACTATTACTACTTCGGAGCAATGCCTTGTTCTGCATCATGTTGTGGATTTCCCCTCCTGCTCTTATTCTAATTTTTTTTTGTTCATTTGGTTAAAATAAATTGGATTTGTCCACTGGAAAGAACCCCTACTCCAAGTCTGTTGCTTCTCTGTGTGTGGTTCAGGCTTCATTGTCTGTTTTCTGACACCATCTTTTGCCTAATTTTGTAACAGCCAAATTGCAGAGCGACGTAAGTGCGAGAAGGTGAAGTTGCGAGAATATGTCATTGCGGAATCACGAATTCGCGAATCGGCACAAAGGAAGAGAGGAGTGCTATCAAAGGTTCGCAATCCAGAATATACAGGCAGTCCCCGGGTTACAAGCATCCAACTTACAAACAACTAGTTAAGAACAGTGCTTATTTATTTATTTATTTTGTGTCAAAAACATTGCATAAATAAGTCAGTTTAAAAACTGATAAAGGGATCACAAGCAGCTAAATAGTTTAAACCAAAAATGGGCAACAGCAACTGCATTGTCCGTAGCTTTAAACAGTTCTTCCTCTGTGCATGAGGCAAGGCATTGTGAACAAGCATACAGATATGGAGCTGATTGTTCTTCTCCACAGTCGCACAAGGTGGAGGATTCTTCTAGGTCAGTGTTTCTCAACCTTCCTAGTGCCGCGACCCCTTAATACAGTTCCTCATGTTGTGGTGACCTCCAACCATAAAATTATTTTTGTTGCTACTTCATAACTGTAATTTTGCTACTGTTATTGTAATGTAAATATCTGATATTCAGGATATATTTTCATTCATTGGACCAAATTTGGCACAAATACCCAATATGCCTAAATTTGAATGTTGGTGGGGTTGGGGGGATTGATTTTGTCATTTAAGAGTTGTAGTTGCTGGGATTTATAGTTAACCTACAATCAAAGAGCAGTCTGAACTTTACCAATGATGGAATTGAACCAAACGCCACACAAAACTCCCATAACCAACAGAAAATACTCGAAGGGGTTGGTGGGCATTGACCTTCAGTTTTGGAGTTGTAGTTCACCTACATCCAGAGAGCACTGTAGACTCAAACAATTGGGTTGTCTTGGCATGAATGTTCAATATGCCCAAATATGAACACTGGTGGAGTTTGGGGAAAATAGATGTTGACATTTGGGAGTTGTAGTTGCTGATCCGCCAACTCCACTTCTGAGTCTGTTCAGGGACTTTCAAGTTCCCCATTCTTGGTTTGCCCCTGGAGGCCCCTGTGTGGGGCCATCCAATTGGGATTGCCCGATTTTGCTGCCCATGGAGATATTCTTGCTGTTCCTGGAGGAACATTTAGAGGATTGGTGATTCTCATGAAACTTTTCCTTGATTTAAGTCTACTGGGAAGGGGCTGATAGCCATACAGTGCATGGCTTTCACAGTGTTCAACCTTATTTCTCTTGCCATTGACTGTAACTTCCCGTTGCACATCAGGGGGGCACTGCCAGCTTGCCTATAGAGTCTATCAACAGGTGTAAGTTTAAGTGTGATTATTCTACATGTCTCGTTCAGTGCTATATTCACCTGCTTCGCCTTGGCAGATTTATGCCAGACGGGACAGTCATACTCGGCAAGCCAAAAGCATTGCTTTACAACATTTTAACCTGGAGGTATGTTTCTTTCCTCCACAAATGGACAAACACTGACAGTCTTTATCCAAACCACTTTCAACTGTTATGTCTATTAATATAGAAAGGGCTTGAGACAACTGGAAGTTATTGAAATCTACCCCTTGGAAGGGAAGTTCACTTCTGAAAGAGATTATCATCGGGAAATGGTGTCTCCACTGAAGCTTTCTCACCAATGCTTGTTTCCACAACAAGCCAAATCGAACTATCACAGAAAGGGAGGGGAAATCTTCTAAAGAGGGACACAGACAGCAAAGCAAACACAATATGGGTGTTCACCCTTCCCTATGCTATTCAAAGCTAAAACAATAAATACCTTGGCTGGAGTTAAAAAAGCATCCCTTATCCGAGTTACATACAAATTCAACTTAAGAACAAACCTACAGAACCTATCTTGTTCACGACTTGGAGACTGCCTGTATCACTATTATGGGGACTTTATTGTGAGTTTGTTTGCCTTTAAAGCATCTACCATACTTCCTCACATAATGGGGTTCCAGAGATCTCAGTTTTGGGTTTTTTTAATTGCCTTCAGGCCTCGGAGAGATGAGAGAAGAGTGAAGCTCCAGAGACCTCCATTTTATAGTTTTAAACTATTTGCTTTTGGGAAAGAAAGGGGAAGTTATCCTGAAATTAACCTCCTCCTCCCCTTTTGGAAGTAAAGCATTTTGTTTAAACAACAACAGAAAATGGCAAATAAAGGCAATTTTTCCCTTCATTTAATAGTTGCACCCCTTTTTGTTGGTAAGAAGGTGTGACTATTATGTGATGAAATATATGTAAAGCTTCCTCTTCATCCTGGAAACAAGTGACAAGTGGAGTGCCGCAGGGTTCCGTCCTCAGCCCGGTCCTGTTCAGCATCTTGATTAATGACTTAGATGAAGGGTTAGTAGGCATGATCATCAAGTTTGCAAATGACACCAAATTGGGAGAGCCAATACTCCAGAAGACAGGAGCAGTATACAGAACAATCTTGACAGATTAGAGAGATGAATGGCCAAAACTAACAAAATGAAGTTCAACAGGAACAAATGCAAGATACTCCACTTAGGCAGAAAAAAATTAAAGTCAAAGATCCAGAATGGGGGACGCTCAGATCGACAGCAGTATTTGTGAAAAAGATCTTTGAGTCCTCTTGGAAAGGAAGGGAAACATGAGCTAGCAATGCCATACGGCAGCTTAAAAAGCCAGTGGGATTTTGGCTTGCATCAATAGAAGTCTAGGGAAGTCATGTTACCCCTCTCTTCTGTCTTAGACCACTTTACCTGGAATCACACTGTGTCCAATTCTGGGCACCACAATTGAAGGGAGATGCTGACTCTAAGCTGGAATGTGTCCAGAGGAGGGCCAATCAAATGATTAAGGGTCTGGAGAACAAGCCCTATGAGGAGCGGCTAATGTATGGTATGTTTAGCCTGCAGAAGAGAAAGCTGAGGGGAGACATGATGGTAGCCATGTATAAATATGTGAGGAGAAGTCATAGGGAGGGGGGAGCAGGCTTGTTTTCTGCTGCCCTGCAGACTAGGACACAATAGAACAATGGTTTCAAACTACAGGAAAGGCCTGAACATTAGGAAGAACTTCCACCTGAACATTAGGAAGAACTTCCTAATTGTGAGAGCTGTTCAGCAGTGGAACTCTCTGCCCCGGAGTGTGGTGGAGGCTCCTTCTTTGGAGGCTTTTAAACAGAGGCTGGATGGCCATCTGTCAGGGGTGCTTTGAATGTGATTTTCCTGCTTGGCAGCAAGGGGTTGGACTGGATGGCCCATGAGGTCTCTTCCAACTCTATGGTTCTACGATTCTATGAAGATCCGAGTTCCAGGGACCTAAATTTCAGGATTTTTTGAACTGCCTTCAGACCTCAGAGGGAGGACAGAAGAGTGGAGCTCCAGAAACCTTCATTTTCCAATTTTTAAACTGTTTGCCTTCGGGAAAGGAAGGGGAAATTATCCTGAAATGTCTCCGCAGTTTAAACAAACAGAAACCAAGATGTTTGTTTGAGACTGGACCTCCTCCTTTTCTCCTCCCCTTTTGGAAGTAAAGCACTTTATTTAAACAACAGGAAACGGAGACTAAAGGCAGGTTTTTTTCTTCATATAATAGTCGCACCCCTTTTTGCTGTTTTTGGGCTCGGCCTCATGTAAGCCGCACCGAGTCCCTTGGGAGATGGTAGCGGGGTACAAATAAAGTTTTATTATTATTATTATTATCATTTATTTTGACAAGGTGTGACTATTATGTGTTGAGATACGTTATAGTCAAAGCTATTTTTATAGATCTGCTTCATAATACCAATAATCGATAAAGCATTGAAACATTTGGCACATCTGTAAATAGTATATATTTATTCACATGCCCTTTTTTTCTCTTTCAAAAGTGACCTACAATGCAATGTACACACACATACATAGATATAGTGATAGAAAAATATATATTGGAGAAATATATATATATATATATACACACACACACACACACACACATACATATATACACACAAACATATATATTTGTATATGTGTGTGTGTATATATACACACACCCATATATCCAATATATATTTATCACTATGTTTGTGTGTGTGTGTATACACATATTCAAATATCATATATAAGCAGGGAGAGATATTCCTTCCCAAAGCTTCCTTCTAGGTTTGAAAACCATCTGGGCGAGAAACAGTTAAAGGGCAAGCTGTAAAGCGCGGTTTCTGTCGCAAAGCGGATAGCTCCTCCCCTCGCCGCCTCTAAGCCCCTCCCGCCTCTAAGCCCCTCCCGCCTCTACGCCCCTCCCACTCAGGCCAGCCGGATTCTCAAAGCGCGCTCTAACCAAAGAGAGCCAGTTTCGGCGCACAACCATTACTTCCGGATCCCATTCGGAGCCTCCATTGGCGTGGCAGGCGTCTCCCAAAAGAAACCAATGCAAAGCTTCCCAATCAACGTATACAGTCTTATTTCAAAAAGCTGGATGACACTTTCACCATTTGGAGCCATGGAGAAGAAGAACTCAACAGGTTCCTGGAACATCTTAACAGCATCCACCCAAACATCCAGTTCACTATGGAAAAAGAAAAGGAAGGAAGACTGCCTTTTCTAGATGTCCTAGTCATCCATAAACCAGATCAACAATTGGGTCACACCGTTTACAGAAAACCCACACACACAGATAGATATCTACATAAAAACTCCAACCATCACCCAAGTCAAAAAAGAAGCACCATTAAAGCCTTGGCAGACCGTGCAAAAAGAATCTGCGAACCCCACCTCCTCCAAGATGAACTGAACCACCTCAACTGGGCTCTCCAGGCCAATGGATACTCCACCTCAGACATCAGAAGAGCTGCAAGACCAAGAACAAGCCATGAGAGTCAAGATGAAGATCCACCCAGAGGAAAAGTGTTCCTGCCATACATCAAGGGAACCACTGACCGCATAGGGAAACTGATGAGGAAACACAACATACAAACAATCTACAAACCCACCAAGAAAATCCAACAAATGCTACGTTCAGCAAAGGACAAGAGGGATCCTCTCACCTTTGCAGGAGTCTACTATATACCATGCAGCTGTGGACAAGTCTACATAGGGACCACCAAACGCAGCATTGCCCAAACACGAATCAAAGAACATGAAAGGCACTGCAGACTACTTCAACCAGAGAAGTCAGCCATAGCAGAGCACCTGATGAACCAACCTGGACACAGCATATTATTTGAGAACACAGAAATGCTGGACCACTCTAACAACCACCATGTCAGACTACACAGAGAAGCCATTGAAATCCACAAGCATGTGGACAATTTCAACAGAAAGGAGGAAACCATGAAAATGAACAAAATCTGGCTACCAGTATTAAAAATCTCTAAAATTACAACAGCAAAACAGCAGAGAGGAAACAACCAGGCACAGAAGAGTTTGCTCCAGGCACAGTCAGCCCATTGTATGCTAATCAAGGTGGTCAGTTGAAAGATCACACCTAGCCCAACTTACAAAAGCCCTTTGTCTCACCCTGGTCATTCCACAGATATATAAACCCCCTTTTTTCCCAGTTTCCAGCAGACCTCACCTCTGAGGATGCTTGCCATAGATGCAGGCGAAACGTCAGGAGAAATGCCTCTAGAACATGGCCATATAGCCCGAAAAACCCACAAGAACTGAGTGATTCCAGCCATGAAAGCCTTCGACAATACAGTCTTATTTCTTATTTATATTCCGTCTTTCTTCCTCAGCGTCGAGTCCAACATTTTAAAAGAACCATTTAGTGGGTAACTATGCAGTGAGGAGACTGTATTTTTTCTCTTTTTCTCCACTCAAATGGATGATGCCTCTGCATTCTCAAAGGGAACCGGACGTTTATTAAAGTTCCCATTTCGCCCTCGCCTCTTGGTTCTCTCCGCTTTTTCCGGCCTCTTTGGGCCTGTCCTTTTCCGCGCATGCGCCCTGCGTCCAGAGAGGGGCCTCTCACGCAGTCAGCGCGGAGGCGGGTATTCTGGAAGGCAGGTTGCGCCGGCGGCGTGACGTCACGGCTATAGGGCGACTCCGGGGCTACGCCGCTGACGTAGCGGCGTCGCTCTCGCTCTCAGGGAGGAGAAGGCAGAAAGAGGTTTAAAGAGACAACAGCCAATGGAGGGGCTTTGGGGCAGCAGGGCGAGCCCCTACCCATGCTGAGGAGCCCGGGCCCCGAGGAAGGAAGGCAGGCCGGCCTCGAAGGGCCCCGTGAGAGGTAAAGCCCTCCATTGCGCGACTAATGCGCGACTAATTGAGGGAAGGCGTCGTTTTCCTGAGGGGAACACAGGGCCTCCGTTGGCCTTGCACCTTTTGGAGGGGCTTGCGCCACAGGCACACGCCTCACTTATTTAACTTCATAATAGTTTTATATATATATATATATATAATCTATCTAATTTATATATATATATATATATATATATATATATGATTTGATTTAATAGTATATATATGTATGTCTTTATTTAATAATATATCAATCTCATGTATGTAATTTAATAATAATAATAATAAATATAAATATTACATTGTCTAATTTATTTAAGAATAAAAATAATCATATATCCATATTCTATATCTCCCTAATTTAATTTAATCATTACTATTCCATATCCATGTTATATATCTCCAATATAATGTAATAATAATAATAATAATAGTAAAATGTAAATATTATATCTCTCTAATAATAAGGATAATATCTCCGTCTCTCGTTTATGTATTTTAATAATAATAGTTAAATATAGATTTCTCTCTAATTTATATAAGAAGAAAAATATGTTTATATCTCATTTATTTTATTTAATAATAATAGTAAAATATACATTTTCTATCTATCTATATATATATATATTTAATAATAATGTATCATTTTATCTCTCTTAATTTATTTAATAATATATCAATCTCACATTTATGTAATTTAATATTTAATAATATATCATATTATCTCTCTTAATAATAAAAATAGTAAAATGTATATATATATACTAGCCATCCCCTGCCACGCGTTGCCGACATGGGGGTTCTGTGTGGGAGGTTTGGTCCAATTCTATCATTGGTGGGGTTCAGAATGCTCTGTGATTGTAGGTGAACTATAAATCTCAGCAACTACAACTCCCAAATGTCAAGATTATATTTTTCCCAAACTCCACCAGTGTTCACATTTGGGCATATTGAGTCTTCGTGTAGAGTTTGGTCCAGATCCATCATTGTTTGAGTCCAAAGTGATCTCTGGATGTAGGTGAACAACACCTCCAAAACCCAAGAACACTGCCACCAAACCCTTGCAGTATTTTCTGTTGGTCATGGGAGAACTGTGTGCCAAGTTTGGTTCAATTCCATCGTTGGTGGGTTCAGAATGCTCTTTGATTGTAGGTGAACTATAAATCCCAGCAACTACAACTCCCAAATGACAAAATCATTTTTTTTTAGTGAAGGACATACATTGGGTTGTTAGGTGTCTTGTGTCCAAATTTGGTGTCAATTCGTCCAGTGGTTTTTGAGTTCTGTTAATCCCACAAACGAACATTACATTTTTATTTATATAGATATCTAATGTAATAATAATATATCCATATTATGTATCTCTAATTTATTTATTATATATATATATATATATATATATATATATTCTAAATACAATGTGCAGCGCATGCATATATATATATATATACCTATCGTATCTATCTGTTTATTTACTGTATTTATATACTGCTTTTCTCTCCCCTGAGGGGACTCAAGCGGTTTCCAACATAACCATTGCAAAATTCAATGCCAAACATACATCTGAAAAACCAAAACATAAAATCAAACAGTAACATACTATGAATTAAAACCATATTGAACCATGAAACATAAGCAGCATTTAAACATTAAGACACAGAATTAAAACATCTTAATATAAACATTAAAAAATCACATAATCTGAAATCGTGGTCCACAGCCATTCCAATTGTTAATTGCACATATCTAATAATATATATGTGTGTGTGTCTCCATATTATCTCTCAAATGTAATAATAATAATAAGATATCTAATATACTTAATTTAATAATAGTAAAATATAGATACTGATCTGTCAAATTTATTTAAGAATAATAATATATCCATATTATATATATCTCTAATACAATAATATACCGTAATTATACATATGTATATATTTATTTAATAATAATAATAATATATACATGTCTCATTTATTTAATTTAATAACAAAATATATATCTGTTTAATATTATATATATATATATATATATATAAATGATAATGATATATACATATATCTCTAATGTATATATATATATATATAATTATTAATATCTCCCTTTACTTAATTTAATAATAACATATACATATTATATGTAATTTAATAATATTAATATATGCATATCTCTCTAATTTATTTAATGTAACAATAATAATATATCCCTATTAGACACCTCTCTAATGTTTTTAATTTATTTAAAAGAGAAATGGCAAACACTGTGGCAATAATAATAATAATGTTTCACTTTAAAGATACATATATCAATAATAATGATGAAGTTTCACTTTTGTGATTAGCTTTTAAGAATACCAATTATTAAGTTTCAGTTTTGTTTTTATAGATAAATAAATAGGAAGAAAGAAGAGCAAAAGAGAGAAAAGGGGAATAAACAAATAATATGTATTATTATTATTATTGGAAAGAAAAATGATTTATTGCTTTTTTCTCCCCATTTTTTCTACTTCTTATAGTAAGAAAATGGCTTTATTGCTTTTTTTCCAAATTACTTTCAAAGGGGAATGTATCGGTGTATACAAACACACACACACATATATATATATAATTTTATAGATAGATCAGATAGATAGATCAGATAGAGGAAAGAAGAGGAGTAGAAGAGAGGAAAAGGGAATAAAGAAATAAAATTTGTTGTTAATATTATTGGAAAGAAAATGTATTTATTGCTTTTTTTCACCCCATTTTTTAAATTAAAAGTTCTTAAACTGGTCTAAAAAGAAATAGAAACATACATAAAGGGGAAAAAGTAGGAAGAAACATGGCTTGATTGCTCCTCCCTTTCGTTCATTGCCCAAAGAGAAGAATCAATATAAGTGCAAAAATGTGCAAAAAGAACGGAAAAAGAAGAGAAAGTGAAAAAAATAGCTTTCTTGAGTTTCCAAAGTGTGCTTAAAGTGGGGGGGGGGGGGAATAGAAGCATGTAGATATAAAAAGAAAGAAAGAACAGATAAGGATGGGGGMGGGAGAATAGTATAATAATYATAATGATAATGATAATATTAATAGAGGTAAATGGCCAAAGAAAGCAAGAATCCTAATATTGTATAGGAAAGTGGATGGAGAAAGTACAGAATGGATTCGATTTTTTGCCAAGGCTTTCATGACCAGAATCACTGTGTTTCTGTGAGTTTTCCGGACTGTATGACCATGTTCCACAAGCATTATTTCCTGACGTTTCACCCACATCTATGGCAGGCATCCTCAAAGGTTGTTGGAAACTAGGCAAGTGAGGTTTATATAACTGTGGAATAATGTCCAGGGTGGGAGAAAGAACTCTTGTCCGTTTGAGACAAGTGTGAATGTTGTAATTGGCCAGCTTGATTACCATTGAATGGCCTTGCAGCTTTAAAACCTGGCTACTTCCTGCCTGGGAGGTGTTGGCTGGCCTTGATTGTTTCATGTCTGGAATTCCCCAGGTTTTTAAGTATTGTTCTTTATTTACATTCACACCTGCCTCAAACAGACAAGAGTTCTTTCTCTCACCCTGGACACTCCACAGATATATAAACCTCACTTGCCTAGTTTCCAGTGGACCTCACAACCTACCATAGATGTGGGAGAAACATCAGAAGCGAATGCTTCTGGAACATGGTCATACAGCCCAGAAAACTCACAGCAACCCAGGGTTCGATTTGTGGGGGAAATACAGGGATTGGAAAGGCGTTGGCCTTGTTACTTCACCTGTTTTGCATATATGTTTGCTTTTAAATAAGAAATGGACTTGGGTCTTTCTCTTCCCTTCCATCTCCAAAGCCTCGATAAATTGTTTAAAATTGGACTTCGGGGGACCCACCAATGCGTTGAAAGAGGAAACTCTCACTAGGTTTGATTGTGTTTCAGTATTATTCTGCTTTTCATAAACATCACAACAACGACAGTGTCGAAAGTCGAAACTTTGATGGGTTTATAGCCAGTTGTGTTTGGTTTGATCACGATTGCTTTCCCCATCCTTTCTGTATAGATGTATATTAAACGTTGCTTTTAATTGGGAGCCATCTCTTAATCCTTCTCTTCAAAGCAAAAGGTTAGACACCTCTATAATGTTTATGGAGAGGCAGGATGAGCACAAAGAGACCAAAGGGGAAACTTATCTAGCTATCTGTCTAGCTATCCCATTTCAAAATGTGTAAGGATGTGGGTGAACTACAACCCCCGTCATCTATCTATATATCTATATATAGCAGATAATTATGGGCAACGAAACCCCAAGCAGATTCACAATGGTTGTCTGAGATAGACTCTATATATCTGGACTGTTGTCTGTCTGTCTGTTTATCTGTCAGTCTATCCATCTATTAGTCTATCCATCCACCATCCAACAGCCAGTCTATCCATCTAGCTAACTATAATAATAATAATAATTATTATTATTATTATTTATTTATTTATTTATTTATAACCCACCCTCTCTCCCTAAAGGGACTCAGCTATCCATCTATCCATCTTTATTCTAAAGGGACTCAGCTATCCATCTATCCATCTTTTATTCTACTATTGATCTATCTATCTATCTAATTCTGCTAATACAGATCTGTATAGTTCTACCAATACAGGTCTACCTTTATAGATCTGTCTGCCAATACAGATCCATTTATATATCCATCCTTATTCTACCTTTACAGATCTATACCTAATTCTACCACTACAGATCTATAGATCAGCCATCTCATTCTACTATTATAGATCTATCAATTCATCTATCCATCCTTATTCTACCTTTACAGATTATCTATCTATCTATCATCTATCTAATTCTACCAATACAGATCTATGTATCAACCATTTTATTCTATCTTTACAGATCTATCTATCGGAGTCAGCTAATACATATGTATATATCTATCATCTTACTCTACCATTATAGATTCATTTATCTGTCCATCCTTAATCTACCAATAGAGATTCATCCATCCACCATCCCATC